ATTACTCCTTTTATTGGGTACCTTAAAGTGTATATACCTTCTATACTTCTGGATCATATGTGTTTTGCTTAAATATTATCATTCCTTTGCTGCAGTCTTTTATTTTTCAATTAGCACTGAAACAAAGAAATTGAAGAACTCTACCTATTTGTTTGTCTACCAATGCAAATATGTGGTATATTCAGTTTTTACCATAAATCCATCAACACTGTATACAACCTGCAACCTTCTATTGAGAGCTTGTAGTTCACGCCTCTATAACATCAGTTCATTCTAAATAGTCAGTCAAAGCAGCTTAGATTAGTAATCTGCCACTTGAGCTGCAAAAGTCTTAAAGGAAAAGCTTTCATGTAGTCGTACCTTCTCTACTTCATTAAAGTAGTAAATATGCCGAATTTTCTTACATCATTTATTAACTATTAGAGTTTTTTGAGAAGGCTACAGGTGGTGGAGCATACAAGTTTTCTGATCTTTTCAAGGAAAGGCTTGGAGTGAGCATAGAAAAAGAAGATGAAATGGATTGCCTTGTTGCTGGAGCAAATTTCTTGCTCAAGGTACATTTTTATTCAACAGAAATTTAGATCCTCAATTAATGCTGTGGATAATGCATATATGAATTGAACATTCAGAAGACTCAAAGTCTTTTGGGAGTACGATATTTTTCCAAACAAAGAGTTATCAAGGCTGAGCATTTTGTTGGGTTTAGAAGGTTTAATGTGAAAAAGTAAATGGTGAAGGGAACATCTTATGTTTTGCTTAATTCCATTAGCTATTATTTGTTGATTACTGGGCTACTTCCTTTGATTGAATAGGCCATTCGTCATGAAGCATTTACTCATATGGAGGGTCATAAAGAGTTTGTGCAGATAGATCACAATGATTTGTTTCCTTATCTCCTTGTAAATATTGGCTCCGGTGTTAGTATGATCAAGGTATTATCTTAGAATCTAATGAATAAATTTCTTATTTAAGGGATTGTTCAATCATCAAGTTATTCAACTTTTAACAACAATAACAACAATAGGTTGACGGGGATGGGAAGTTTCAGAGGGTCAGTGGAACGAATGTTGGTGGTGGTACATATTGGGGACTGGGAAGGCTATTAACAAAATGCAAGAGGTGACAAGATTCTTCTTGTTTTCCCATAGCTCTAAATGTTCATTTTTGCTGTGTCGTTTAATTTCTTATTTGATTCTTGAAATAGTTTTGATGAATTGCTCGAGCTGAGTCAACGTGGAGATAATCGAACCATAGATATGCTTGTTGGTGATATCTATGGTGGTATGGATTATTCTAAGGTATAATATGATGGCCTACATTGTTATCTGGATGATGATTTCATTGTATTAAGAATTAGAAATACTAATTTTTTACCTACACACTTCTTCAGAGTTTTATCTGCGGTTAAAATCTTAATTCCTTGTAGATTGGTCTCTCAGCATCAACAATTGCTTCAAGTTTTGGCAAAGCCATTTCAGAAAGCAAGGAGCTCAAAGATTACAGACCCGAAGATATCTCTTTGTCTCTGTTGCGTATGATTTCATATAATATTGGCCAGGTATAACTCAGATAAAATCCAGTCATTTCCATTACCCTGCATAGATTACTTTGCAAGAATGCCTGGTAAAGAAAGAGTGATTAGTGTAGCATATGAGTTATAACTTCCCTTGATCTGATTCATAGCACCCAACAAGAGAGTCCCCTAATAAGTAATAAATGTGTACATTAGTGCATCAGGCTCAGGTAAAATTGCATAATAGTGTGTTTGGATGGACAAAAGAAAATGAGGTTGAGAATAGAGTTAACATTAGGAAAATTATGGGTCAACAGAATATTTCCCGTGAAAATCGATTATCGGAGGATTCTTGGTAGTATTTAAGTTGTACAAATTATTAGCAATAAAATTTCCTGTACTAGTATGTTGAATAATCTTCCAATTTTGTCAGTGAGTTTAAACTGAACATGTTGAAGTCCCTAGAATTCCATTTTTAATCACCAGGGGACCAAATCCAATGGTCAATTTAATAATTGGGGGCCAAAAGTGGAAAAAGACACTACTGTCAGTGACAAAATTTGGAATTATTTCTAAAATTCCATTCATTGCTATGCTTATCTTTTTCTGGATCAACTATACACTTGTCACCCTTCGGTTATTACCTTTGCCGAACTCCATTTTCTTTTACTGCTTTCAGCCATTGTCTTTTAACTTTTTACGTAGTATATGTTACTTCTTACGCACAGGCAATGACTTTCCTATCTTGTAGGTATCTTATTTGAATGCACTCCGTTATGGTCTCAAGCGTATATTTTTTGGAGGATTTTTTATACGGGGCCATGCATACACAATGGATACAATCTCATTTGCAGTTCAGTTCTGGTGAGAATGATGTGAAGTTGAGTGAAGAAATGCACTTCTATGCTTCAATAATTTAGAATAGTCATGTTATTTTCCATGCATCTGTTTTTCTGTCTTTTTCTCTTCCTTTTTTTATTTTCACACTACAATTACATGCTTTGATTAGGTCTAAGGGTGAAGCTGAAGCCATGTTTTTACGACATGAAGGCTTTCTCGGTGCTTTAGGTGCATTTATGAGCTATGAAAAACATGGTTTGGATGATCTAATGGTCCACCAGTTGGTTGAAAGGTTCCCAATGGGTGCCCCATATCTGGGAGGAAATATACACGGACCACCACTGGGGGATTTGAATGAGAAGGCAAGCATCCTTATGAAGTACAGTATTATTATGTGCATGACATTGAATGCTATTATGACATTGACCAGAAACATTTTAAGGAAAGACTGAAAGAGTTGTGCAGTACCACATAGACATAGCTTACATTTCTTAAAAAGAGTGCAAAATCAATGAGTATTATTCTTGTACTAACTTATATTTTGAAGTAGAGAATGGTTATAGCCTCTTCCATCTAATGTTACCTGAGACTACAGTTCCTGTATATGTGTGCTTCGGCACCTATTTTTAAATATGTCTGGCCATGTGACCTGAGCATACACATTATTATGAGGATTTGACTACCAGCGATATGGGCAGCAGAGGTAATCAATGGTGGAGAAGGAGAAGCCGAGTTGTTGAAGCTTATCACCGGGATAGATGTTGAAATTAGAAGAGGAGGTTGATGATTAGGTGCTATATCAAGGGGCGATAACAGCGGTAAAACTGAATCCAGATGAGGATGATGAGTGAATTGGGCCCGGTTTGCCCAAACCCAAATGAATAGTACTGTGGGTTTTAGGGGTCATAGTTGGTAACTAATCTATGAGCACTGGTTTGTGTTTGCAAAAACCTTTTCCTGTTCTCAGAAAATTGTGAACCAAAAAGCCTTTCAATATATGACGTCACTTATCAAAGCTTTAAACACACTATTCAACAGCATTCAATAACACAAGCCCAATATTGAAATAGCTAAAGCATCAACAACCAACCACACAACCGCACATAAAGAAATTTCGAATAACTACATTTGCTGATTGAGAAGTGTGTGATCCGAGAGTGATAATTTTTTTTACATCTTGGAGCTTGGGGTGTGGTGTGGTTGATCTGTATTGAACCATCCTGACTCTCCTTGAAAGTCATAAGGGTTACTCCATCCATCCATTCATCCTATATCTTTCTTACCACTTTGACTTGACAGGGTTTTATGAAAAAAGTTGGTTTGTATAGTTTTGGTTGATTAAGAAAAGAGAGAATGTGAAATGGGAAGTAAATTTTGGGATGATTCCAGAAGTGGAAATTTTTTTAGAACAGAGAGAGTTGTTAAAACATAGAATGTGTTCTATTTAGGAGTTATATCAGATTCAGGATCACAACCACTTAACTACTCCATGGATATTTCCTTTTAGCAGCATGTGTGATGGAATAATTAGGTTGGTTTACTGGCAGATATCATGGATGGAAAAATTTGTTCAGAAGGGAACAGAAATTATTGCTCCTGTTCCAATGGCCCCACCAGGAACTACAGGGCTTGGAGGCTTTGAAGTTCCTTCATCTAAAGGTGTTCTTCGGCCTGATGCTAGCAAATTAAATGTTGGTGTCCTTCATCTTGTCCCAAGCTTGGAGGTTTTTCCAATCTTGGCAGACTCAAAAATGTAAGCCAACATTGCAAATTTGCAATCGTATGCAAATATTCAGCCACCTTAAATTTCCTTTAAGCTTCATCTCATCATACTTAAAGTCATAATAGGAACGTGTATGCATCCTACACATCTACATAAATATTAAATACATTTACTTTCATTTTCTCATGTTAGTGGGTCATATACTTGTCTTATTACCATGGTTGCAATTAGCACGCATTATTTCTTTTGCATTTTTTGCACCTCGTGCCTCTTCATTTAAAAGTGAGTGCAGTGTTTGTTGAATATCTGAAAACATATCATTTTTCTTTCCTTTTTTTCTTCCTCTTGCAAATTTCTGAAATTCATCAATACCTAGTGAAACATTTCATACTGATTTTGGGTACATACTGATGAAATTTACCTGATTCTTGTTGAACGCACATTTAGAGGTTTCTAGTTGCCTCCAACTTTCTCATGTTATTTGATCTTTTTCTTTCCCTGCTATGAACTAAATGCTACTTGTATGAATATGTTATTGATTAAGTTTGAACATTTTTCTTCTTTACAGATATGAACCTAACACTGTAGACCTCTCCGATCTCAGTGAGCTAGAGTGAGTTCTCTTTGCCAAAGATGATACTCCCTCTGCCCCTAAAAAAGTTCCTAGTTTGAATTGCATGGATTTTATTGAATAAATTTTTTTGTCTGATTTTTTAAAATGCCATTGTTAGTGTGGTTTAGAATAATTGATGGTGGTACGCGGGGACATTAAACAAGAGCAGTATATTAAAGTATTTACTTTAACCAACAAGGAAAAAAGTACTTTATTTAAGGACAGACAAAAAGGAAAGGATGAACTTTATTTAGATACAGAGGGAGTAAATATCTTTACTGGTAGACAGCAAATATACTAATATTCACTTATTGTAGGTACTGGTTGACTGTATTATCTGAACATCTACCCGATCTCGTTGATAAGGTAATGATAGAATTGTTTGGTCCAAGAATGCACTTGTCGGGACATGAACTAATTTTAATATAGAAATATTTGTGCTTTATCATGTTGTGGCTTGTATTACTTTTCTGTGATAGTATATATGTTTGCATATGGTTCTAGGCTTCTAGCTAAATAAGCTTAGTGTTAATTGTTAAATAATTGTTCAGGCAGTGGCAAGTGAGGGTGGCACTGAAGATGCAAAAAGAAGGGGAGATGCATTTGCTCGAGCATTTTCAGCACATTTGGCAAGGTATGCATGCTTAACATGGAATATTTTGAAGATGCTCCATTGTTTTTATTCCCTCCCTTCCACTGAGTATGGGACATGGAGTGTTTGCACAGAGAATAAAGTTGGGATGACTTTGGATGACAATAATATAAAAACTATTGAATGAGTCAAAGATAGCGAGACAGACTAAATGGAAAAGAAGGGATAAAGATAGTAGGACGAAGAGAGTATCCGTTAATGGTTTCATTTTTTTTAAATTTTGAAATATCCATTTCTGACGTCCTTGTCTCACTGGACACATGAACTCTCCAATTTTAATGTTATATTGATGTCTTAGTGAAATTTGTTAACAGGTTGATGGAGGAGCCTGCCGCGTATGGTAAGCTTGGACTGGCCGACCTGTTGGAACTACGAGAAGAGTGCTTGAGAGAGTTTCATTTCTTTGATGCATACAGAAGCATTAAACAAAGGTATGAATGTGCATGAAAGAGAAACCCTTTCTTGGGGGGCGGGGTTTTTTTTTCAAAAAAATCATCCCTTGCTCATGTCAATTTATCATTCTACTTTATAATCAGGGAGAATGAAGCATCACTCGCAGTTTTACCCGATCTTCTGATGGAACTTGATGCCATGAGTGAGGTAATGATTAACTGAAATCCAAGCGTGGAATTTCTGACTAGAACATTGACGTACCCACCCATCTGAACTGCGGTGATTTTTTCTTCTCTAAGGAAATGAGACTACTTACCCTAATTGAAGGAGTGCTTGCTGCAAACATCTTTGACTGGGGATCACGTGCCTGTGTTGATCTTTATCACAAAGGAACAATCATTGAAATATATAGAATGAGCCGCAACAAGATGCAGAGACCATGGCGGGCAAGTGCACACACAATCATATATTTCATTTACAATGGCATACCAAAAAAATCTCTGAAATGTGATATTTGAAACAATCATAAATACCCTTCAGGTTGATGATTTTGATGCTTTCAAGGAGAGAATGTTAGGGTGCGGAGAGAAGAAACCACCGCAGCCTCATAAAAGAGCATTGCTATTTGTAGACAACTCAGGTGCTGATGTTGTTCTTGGAATGCTTCCACTAGCACGGGAGCTTCTTAGGCGTGGAACTGAAGTAATTTTTTTACATATGAAATCCTTATTATTGGTTCCGGAAACGTTGATCTCAATTGAATATACTGTGACATCTTACAAGTTTTATTACACACACTTTATTGAATCTACGTATGTATGCTATGGTAGGTTGTGCTGGTAGCAAACTCGCTCCCGGCATTAAATGATGTTACTGCTATGGAGTTGCCTGATATTGTTGCTGAGGCTGCAAAGGTATATCTTTTTGAAAAAATTTTGGTAGCCTCACTATCAGAGCACATTGTTTGATGGATATCCTGATTTTTTTCATGCTTTAATTAATACTCTAAAATTAAAGGTGATATACGTCTAGATCTATAATATGTACAGTATAGAGAGTCCATTTCCAATGGAGCCAAAAGAGTGGTTTTTTGACAATGTTTTAACTTCAGATAAATGATGGGCTTAGATCAAAATGTGGCACATCAAACTTCCATTGCCTCTTTATTTTTATAAAGTTTTGGGAATGAAATGCAGCAACACATCATGGGTTTAGCGGAAACAACCTCTCTGTTTACAGGGGTAAGGTTGCATAGATCATGACCCCCAGAGCCCAACACAGTTGGGACTATACTGCATTTGTTGCTGTTGTAATATGCACAACAGAGGCTAATAACGTATTACGTTGGGCAAAATAGCATTGTGGAATTCTGCGAGGAGCTGCAGAAGCAGGCGGGCTTCTTGTAGATGCAATGATTGGCATCCAAGGTGATGATGGATGTAAAGAAGAAGAAGAAGAAGAAGGTCACCTTTCCTCGGTTCCTTTGATGGTTGTTGAGAATGGATGCGGGAGCCCATGTATAGACTTGAGACAGGTTAGCTCTGAGTTAGCTGCCGCAGCCAAGGATGCTGATTTGGTATGTAAACACTTGCTCTGTGCGCTACTCACTTTCCTCACATTTCCCTTTCATTCTCACTTTCAAATGTGTATATTCAGTACGTACATACACGCTTTGGCATTTCTAATACGCTCGTCGGTTTCTCACCTAGATAATTTTGGAAGGAATGGGGCGAGCTTTGCATACCAACTGCAATGCCAAGTTCAAATGTGATGCTTTGAAGGTATAATAAAGTACTACTAGTCCTTTACTTGTAAGTATGTAAGCATCATTGGTTGGTTTGTGTATTCAGTTCCTGATGCAGATCATTTGTCTGTGTGCAGCTTGCGATGGTGAAGAATCAGCGACTGGCTGAGAAACTGATCAACGGCAACATTTATGATTGTGTTTGCAGATATGAACCCGCCTCAGCTTAGATTTGCCTTCTCATCCAAACTCAACCTGCTGCTGGCTTTGGTGTTGGGTGCAGTGTGTTGAGAATAGGGGGTAGTGTTGTGTTGGGGTACATACGTGGTAAAGAACGAACACCGATGTGCACACCATGATTGGTGGGTGGCAGACATGAAGATGCATGCTAGGGTGAATTTGTGAATATACTACTACTACTACCATAAACCATAAAGTCGTGTTACAATGATATCATGCATGGATAACATTAAGGATGACATCATTTACGATTCTGTTTTCGCGGATAATGACTTGATAAGATGCATGAAGTTAAATTGATATGATTAGATAAGTGTATGATTGGATAAAACAAATCACTAAAACAAAACTATTTTTAGATTGAACCTTTTCTTTGAAAAAAAAGGGTGAGCACACACTATTGCTGCTTGGGAATAGAAAGTTATTCCACACACACCAATCTAGCCAGTTTATTCCTTTCCGATCCCCCACTTGTGAGATTTTAGTAGATGGTTCTTGTTGTATTCTTAAACTACCCTGCATTTAGATGACATTAGGAGTTCACATTAGATGTTATAATATTATTTTATTTTATCAAATAATCAATGAAAATACATAAATATACAAAAGTTATCGTGATTTAGGAATAGTAAATATTGTAATCAATTGTGGGGCGGATTAATATCAAAATAGGAGTCTTAAGTCTTTTAAGAAATGAATTGTACTCCCTCCATACCTATTTTGTTAAGAAATCTCCCTGGATAGAAGTTCTCCCTATTTTGATTGCAAATTGCAAAAAATGATGAAAAAAAATTCAATTCTTTTTCAATTCATTATATTTTAAAGATTGAGACATAAATAAAAAATAAAATTTATATATTTAAAATCTACATCAAAAGTTTTACAAAATAAGATGTTATAAAATATTTATTTTATCAAATAATCAATGAGAATGACATTCACGAAATAAATAAAAGTCATCGTAATTTTAAAATAGTAAGCATTATAATTTTTGGTGGGGACAAAAGGATGTATATTGGTAACCATAAAAAATCAAATATGGAGTATAAAGTTTTTCTTTGTTTGGGGCACAAGAAATAATAAGTTACGAGAGCCATATGATGGTAGTCTTTCTTCAAATTTTTGTGTATATATCCGCAATTAGGGATGCATTATATTCCCAAAAGGCCAAAACGTTGGGCGACCCTAAGGAAACCGAGTGCTTCTCCGCCCACAATCCCACATGATACAAATAAAGGAGACGGTGCCTTGTTAATTTTATTTTGTTTTGTAGGAGGTGCGTTAATTTCACTAAGAGTAAAAGGTACGGTAAAAAAAACTTTAGGAGTAAAAAGTTGATTGTAATTAAGAAATAAAAAGATGACTATCGTATTTGAACTAAATGGAACTAAACAAAACTAATACTACCTCCGTTCCAAACTATTTGTCCACTTTGATTTTTACGCACCATCCAATATACTTCTTTAATCCATTTTATCTTATAATTTGTATATTTAAAAATTATAGAAATTATATATTAATAATTTAGATGAACAGTTCCAAAAGTCAAAACTAGACAAATACTCCGGAACTAAGGAAGTAACGACTTGTTGAGTGAATATACTCCGTAACTGAGGAAGTAACGACTTGTTGAGTGAATATACTCCGTAACTTGATACAGCACAGGGCAAAACTATACCTTAAAAGCTACGGAGTAGTTGTTAAGGTGAGAGAATTCTAAACTATACTCCGTATAATTCTATCACCAAGTCCCTCATTTAACCGATGTGGAACAATGAAATCAATCCGTATCATTCAATCCCCTATAAGGCGCAACGTCCTCATTGGTCATGGCTACGTTGGTCATGACCACGTTGGTCACGGTGGCTCGGAGGATGTGCAAAGTAGCCAACTGCACAGGACTCCTAAAATTTTAGGGCCTCATATTTTTGAATTTGTTAATAATTTCAAAGCAAACGTATTTTTTAAAAATAAAATAGGCCCCAAAATGTAGATTTTGGACCGGGCCAAATTTATTTTTTCATTTTCCGGGGCCGCCTTGCACCAGGCCACTACTCCGTAGGACACCACTCCGAGTTAGCTCTAATATCATTGATACAGTAAAAGGGAGAACCACATCCTAAAAGTTAGTGGTTAAGGTGGAAGAACCATAGGCCCATCACCAAGTTCTTCATTTAACCGGTGTGGGATAATGAAATCAATTCATATCACTCTCGCATATCCTTATTATTCTTAGTTGTCATCACTCACTCACATTTATCACTTAAAAATTAAAATTATGATTTCAAATTTATTGCAAAATCTTTCTTATTTTTTTTATAGATATCAAAACTCATCGATACAAATACACCAAACAAGCCCTAACTTTTAAAAAATAGATAAAGAAAACCTTGGCCCCCCACCGGGTGTAAAACTTCTATCCAAAAGTATTTGTTTAATTTTGACTTTTTTCAGCTAAATGTTTTCATGTTTGACTTATAATTAAATAAAATATATATTATATATTAATTAGATAAAATAATATTTTGAAAATGTTTTATATAATAAATATAATAAAACTATTTAATACTTGTTTTATTTAATTTAGAGATAAAATTTATTCCCTCCGTCCTAAAACTTTCTTCCCGGTTCGCAAAACGAAGAAAAATCTTAAATTTTTTCAATCTATTTTATTTAAATATTGATATAGAAATAAAAAATAAAACATACATATTTAAAAACTACATCAAAAGTTTAACAAAACAAGTGGTGACAAGAATATTTTATTTTATCATATAGGCCATGAAAAATACAAATAAATATAAATTCTCGTAAAGTTGGAATAGTACTCTAGAAAGAAAGTTTTAGGACGGAGAGAGTATTAGTTTTAACCGAAAAAATTAAAAGTGAACAATTATTTCAGAAAGGAGAGATTAGGTACATAAACAACGAGCAACTTGGATTGTATAAAACTTGTGGCGGTGTATCCATTGGCGGTGCGGTTATATATGGCCGGATCGGAGTGAATTAGAAATAAGTGACTCCGTATTCAATTCGGAATTTGGCCATATCATCTTTAATTGTTTCTTGATTCCCAAGTCCTGTTCCGCCTTTGTTAACAATTCACATTACAACCCTCATCTCCACTCTTCTTTCTTCTTCTTCCATTCAATTCAATTCCTGTATGTATATACACCATTAATCCAACCCCCCTTCATTCGTCCCTTTTTTTCTTCGACCGGCGTTATAATAGGGATAATGCAGCAAGTCCTTCGATTGCCAGTCCAAGATTCTATGTCCACCACGACGACGAAGGTTATGGAAAGACCGACGAGCGAGGAACTGCTTTCTGATTGCGAGAGCGGGATTTCAGGCCCTAACTCCACCGCCGCCGAGGCGACGAAGACGGAGAGGCGAAGTCCGGTAGAGTGCGGGGAGCTAACCACGGTGGGCGAAGAGGAAAGGATTCACCAGATAATCAGGGAGAAGCTTCTCGCAGGCGGCGCACTGAGCGCATCTATAGAGGCGGTTCGGGCGAATGCTTTCTCGAGCATGACCAAGAAGGCGAAGCTTCAGGCATTCGAGATCTTCGCCAAAGCGGCGGAGAAGGAATCGGGATGCTGCAGTGGTGCTAATGTGCGCTATGCTTGGTTCGGAGCTTCAATTGATGACATCGCCACCGTCCTCTCCCAAGGGTTTCTTCCTTGTATGATTAAGAAGGACGGGATCCATGGCCATGGGATCTACCTCTCTCCCGATCATTTCCCCCTCGAAAGGTAATTGATCGATAAGGTTGAGCAACTAATCAAATTGAAGAATTGTTCTTATTAGGGAGCATTATTTAGAATACACGTATATATATCTCTGGCGGTTTCTACATACATGGCTGTAGCAAAATTGCAATGTGTTTGAACGGAATATTGTATTGAATTTGTTACTGGTGCAGCGTGAAATCAGCAGTGGGAGACGAGAATGGGGTGCGGCACATATTGCTCTGCCGGGTGATACTGGGGAAGACGGAGGTGGTGCCGCCAGGCTCCGGGCAGTGGCTCCCCAGCTCGGGAGATTTCCACTCCGGGGTTGATGACTCCGTCTCTCCCACCAACTATATTGTTTGGAGCACTAACATGAACACGCACATCCTGCCTCTCTACCTTATCAGTTTCAGACTGCATTCCTCCCCCGGTGGTAAGTCAGCCGCCACATGTTTGTTTGTTTTCTTTTTGTTCCTCTGTTGGTGCATGTGTGTGCCTAATCTTGCACTTCAATTTGATTTGAGTTTTGTGGGTTTGTTTTGAAATTCAGGGGAGGAGAGAATTGGTGGGGGGCTTGGATATAGGAAGCCAACATCGCCATGGATTCCCTTTACGGCTCTGCTTTCTGCACTGGCAAAATGCTTGCCTCCTCGCACCATGAGATTGATTGCAGACATGTACAGGGATCATAGAGTAAGTATAATCTACTTATATTGGAGTAGGTGGTTTTATATATATATATATATAGTGTACCGACTGCTGCTTCTTAGCTTGAGATGCATAATGCATATGGAGAGTACTACTGTCTGTAATAACTAGTGGGGATATAAATATATAGTAATTGATATTGGTGGACGCACAGGAAAGGAAGATCTCAAGGCGTGAACTGATAGAGAGAATGAGGGAGGTGGCTGGAGATGAGTTGCTTGCAGCAATCATTAAAGCCCACCGCACTAAACCTCATCATCATCATCATCCTTATCACCGGAGGAATAATATCTCAGAGGGCCAAATGCAATTGGGAATGTTGATACGATCCAAGCAAGAATCTGAGCAGCCATCATCTTCATCTTCTTCATCACCTTTCTCACTACATACTCCATATTAGTAATATTTACGAGCATACTGTCACTGTAATACCCACCCCTTACACCCTTACCCTTTTGACAAAAGACTAGTCATCATCTTCCTCAACTTCTTCAAAAAAAAGTTGTACTCCCTATTTCATTTTCATACTCCATTTTCATCCAAATCATCTACAAACCAAGGAAAGAAATTGAATGAAGAAATTTTCTGTCTTAAAAGACAATTACACAAGTTTTGGTCAATGGAAATATATATAATTTTAAAAACAATTTGGTCATCAAGTGGAGATACAATACTCCATTCTCAACTTGTCATCTTGTTAACCGTGCCTCATAAGTGGTCATCAAGAACCAAAACAATTTGTGGATTCAATAATCAATTGCAATTCATACATAAACATTAGGGGTTTTCAAAAATATATGATCCGAAAATCCATCCACAACTCACACCAATCTGATTTGAAGAAATAGATATTCAATGCAATATTTTAGCTTACAGATATTTCAGATTGGATATCCGAAAAAACTTGATCGAATATGGAATGATATACTCATTAAGGTTTCAGATATCCACACATATCTGAAGTTCATATTTAAAAAAATTAAAAATAAAGCTCACATCACTGCCGTCGTTGGGTATTGAACCGCCTCTGCAGCGCGACACTCTCCTCCCACTGCCGCCAGCGTCTGCTTTCGGGCAGCTCCGTTATTAAGAACTGTGACCTCAAGCTTCCAGATCATTCGGAATTCAAGAACTGCCTCAGCAGGGCGGGGGCCCTTCGCCAGCGACATCTGCTCCGCGGCCGCTCAAACTACTGCCCACGCCATATTCCAGAAATGCCTCGGCTTCTATATCCTTCAGAATTCAAGAATCGCCTCTGCGTGGCGGGGGGCCTTCGCCGGCGGCATCTACTTTCTGGCTCGAGCGTGAAAATATCCTGGGCCCTTCGCCGGGGGCGTCTACTTTCCGGATCGAACAACCTCTACAGCGTGAAAATATCCGAGGCGGCGAGGCCCTTTGCCGGCGGCGTCTGCTCTGTCTTTCCACCGATTTTCCCACCCCCAACGTTCAATAAATTTGCCTAATCCTCCTCCCACTAACACACTGCCGCCTTTGCGTAGTGTCTTGTATCCTCGTTCACAGCTATTGGCTCCCCGTCAATCAGCGCCTTATCATATCAGTAAATCACCCATATCTCCCGGGTGGACAGCCCGCAGAGCCGCCTCCTCGACACCCCGCACCACTGTCTCCTAGACATCCAGCATCATAACCTCCTCAACATCCGGCACCATGACGGTCTTCTCGACAGGCCCCACCACCGCCTCCTCCTAGCGGTGGTGGAGAGGCACGTGATCATCCGCCACAGGTGTACTACGTAAAAATCGATGATGGCTGTGTGAGTCAATGTTTATGAATTGATACTCCAATCCATTAATTTAGTTCTTGGATCTGTTGTTTATGTATGAATGATTTGCCTCAGTTTATCCATTTGATTTTACCATTGACACTCACCAATTTCTTGTGGGATCTGTACTACTAACTAGTTAGCTGCGCTCTCTTTATCCATTTGATTCTGTGCATTAACTCCGCAATATATATTTTTTGCAGGACTTCGTCGAAATCATGAATGTATTTTTTCATCGCGCAGCTTCAAATGCGCAGAGTGCTGCTTTGATCCTCAATAGGAATGGCGCCATCCAAGACCCCTCTTTGAAGTCAATGGGTAGAAGTGTGTCTCACCACCACGAAGGTCCATACCAAATCACTTCGTGCGAGGGCTACGTTTGTTTCCCAGAAGATGGCGGGGGGAGACTACATGTGAAATTTCACTAAATTTGGCGAGCTCGAATGGTGATCACGTGATCGGCGGTATAGCGAATAGGGGCTGCATAATTGTAGCGCATCGTGAATGGGGAACATGGCCCCAATCAAGCACCCAAATGAACAACCACATGCCACGTAAAATTACGCAGCCCTTGTTAGCTATGCCGCGGATTACGTGATCACCATTCGAGCTCACCAAATTCAGCGAAACAAACGTATAGTCCTCGCACGAAGTAATCTAGTATGGATCTTGGTGGTGGTGGTGAGACACACTTCTATCCATTGACTTCAAAGAGGGGTCTTGGATGGCGTCATTCCCATTGAGGATCAAAGCAGCATTCCAAGCTACGCGATGAAGAAATGCGTTCATGATTTTCATGAAGTCCTACAAAAAAAATATATTGTGAAGTTAATGTAAAGAACCAAATGGATAAACAGAGCACAAATAACTAGTAGTACAGAACCGCAAGAAATTGCTAACTAGTAGGCAAATCATTCATACACAAACAACACAACAATGAACTACATTAATGGAGTAGCAATTCATAAACATTGACTCACATAGCCCTCAACAATTGTAACATAGTACAGCTGTGGTGGATGATCACGTGCTAGGAGGCGGTGATGGTGGGGCCTGTCCACCGTGAGGTGCCCGATGTCGGGGAGGCAGTGGTGCCAGATGTCGAGGAGGTGGTGGTACTGGATGTCGAGGACGCGGCATCGCAGACTGTCCACTCAATACATATGGGTGATATGATGTGCCAGGAGCATGATGTGCTGATCGACGGGGAGCCAACTGTGAACGAGAATAAAGGACGCGATGCAGGGGCGGAAGTCTGTTAGTGCGAGAATTAGGCAAATTTATTGAAGGTGGTGGTGGGAACAACGGTTGAAAGAGCTGGTAATGTGTCACCGGTATAGTACCACCCTGCAGATGCGGTTCTTGAATAAGGAGCGGCCTCTGAGCAGACTCCGCCGGCGAAGGGCCCCACCTTGCAGAGGACGATCCACAGGCCATAGATGGCATATGATTGGACAGATTTCTGGAATCTGGTGTCGGCGATTATTGAATAAGGAGCGGCCACGGAACAGACGCCGCCCGCGAAGGGCCCAAGATATTTTCACGCTGCGCCAAAGCGGTTTGAGCGGCCGGAGAGAAAATGCCGCCGTCGTTGAGTCCTGAACGATCTGGAACCAAAAGGAGCTTGTGAGGACTGAGGAGATGGCATAGGATTAAACAGATTTTTGTAATCTGGCATCGGCAGTTCTTGAAAACGGAGCGGCCGGGGAGCACGCCGGCGGCAGTGGGGGGAGAGTGCCGCACGGCAAAGGCGGTTCAATACCTAATAACGGTGAAGCAGATGCGGTGGCCCTTGGTAAACGATTAAGGTGATGCAGACCGGTGGAATGTATGGAAATTTCTTGGAACAAAACCCCTCTTCGCAATATCAAGAATCTGGCATCTGTAAAGAGGAATATACTCCTTAATGTGTACTCCGTAAAGGTTGATGTTTGCTGAAATCAATAATACTCCAATAATATTAATGAAAGATAGTAGATGTAAAAGTTTTAAACCTAAAACAAATATTAATTTAATTTCGTTCAAATCATTCTATTCTTAAAAGCAGGGGAATTCCGCCCCAAGCTTTTCCCGCCCAAAGCACATTCATTCAGCACCGTTGATTTCATTAGATCTACGGTTGTCCTTCACCTTCGTAAACTACCAATTTAATAAATTCTATTTAAGGTATCACAATTAACTCTTCCGGATTGGAATTAATGCGGCATACTAATTCATCATGAAATACGGTAATGGTATGTAGATAAATATTCTAAATGAATGGAAAGTTCTAAATAAAATGGTAAGTTTTGATACAACATGGTACATGGAGGATCACGGTAATGGTAAGTAAATAAATGTTCTAAATAAATAGAGTGTTCTAAATAAAAATAAAAAATACTAAAGTCACAAACAAATAATCACAAAGTTCACAAATTTGTCCTTTGTAGAATATTAAATTAAAATATATTCTATTATTTAAGTATACCTTATTTCTACTAAGAACTTAAAAAGACAAGTTTGTAGTTTTTATGAACGATTTATTTGTGTCTCTAGCATTATTCAAATAAAATAGTAAACAAATAAATGTTAAATGAAGAATTATAATAGTTAGGAACGTAAATATTATTGTCCATTTATTATTAATTACCACACTTAATGTCATTATTTATAATGAAATTTTTTACACGCCTATTTCCTTTTCAAATCCTTTCTAGCATGTATAAATATTTGCTCCACCTGTGGATTTCTATCATCTATTAATTTTTAGTTTCTACCTAAGTTTAAAAATAATTTTAGTACTAAAGTTTTTTAATTCATATCATAGTTTAAAAATAATATAATGTGTGATTCAACTTTAAAGATTATTTGTAAATCATAAAAATGATCCAAATTTTAAATGACTGCAATTTTCAAACGCAATCAATGAAATTGATATATTAAATTTCTTATTTATTGTATTTGTTTGTAATTTCTAACCCAATGTAATTGTTCAAATTGGTAATTTGTAATCTAATTGATTTATAATATTATCAATTTAACACAAAGTTTTTAGTTTTAAGTTTATATTTTTTAATTACTATATATTTGTATTTGGGCAAGTGATTGATGCGTATTTTTACTTCATTACTTACTAAATACTACTCCCTCCGTCCATAAGTAATGTTCAGAGTTTGACTTGGCACGGAGTTTAAGAAAATGTAAAAAAGCCTTGACTTTCCAACTTTGCCATTTGGTTAATTAAAATTAAAGGTAAAGTGAATAAAGTTAAATAGTAGTGATTGGATAGATAAAGTAATGAAAATGATTAAAATATTGTTAAAGTACAAGTACAAGTACAAAAGTACAAGTACAAGTACAAAAGTACAAGTACAAGTACAAAAGTTGGGGAAGTGGTGTGGTTGGAGTAAATTAAAGTGGGTGGTGGGTAAGGGGTATTAAAGGCATTTCACTTATAATTCATTGCCTAATTTAGAAACATGAACTTTATTTGTGGACGGACGAAAAAAGAAAGTACGAACATTAAAAATGGACGGAGGGAGTACATAAATTTTTTTGTGTCCCTATTAAATGTACTACTAATGTGGGATTTCTTTTATAGCGATAACAATGTAGTTCACAAAAAATCAAACGTCATATTTCTTTAAATTTTATATTTTGGTTTAATAAGCTATTTGTTGTTAATTTTACTCTTTAAATAATAAAGTGATTAAATAATTTAATATTAAAATTATTATCCGTGCAACGCACGGGAGTGATACTAGTAGTAATAAAAAAATTTAGACTGTCCAACAAAACTTTTTCAGAAAATTTTTAAGCCCCTATACTTCATAATGGCTCGAGTGTACATTTTTTGTCTATACAATACATGTCTAAAATATAGAGAATATATGAATAAGAGCATAAACAATATATTTTGACGTAGAAACTAAAGCGGTGAAAACCACGAACCCTTTTCGGCGGTATCATGCCAACGAGGGTATTTTATTATACATTGGAGATATACTTGTATAGCATATTGGCGTGATAGCCATTGATGGAGCTCGAAGCTCCATCGAGAAGGAGAACACAATATGTGTGATAGCCATTGTATTCTCTCCTATTCTGAGAGAATACAATATGTGTGAGATGTAGAAGATGGCTCCTTTTTCTTCTTGGGTTTGAGCCCCTTATATAGCATCATAATAGGAGCCTAGGGTTAGAATTTTCTAGTGGGCTTCTTGTGTGGACCGGCCCAATATCTTTAACTAGGCTCAACAGATATTATTCTCCTTCAAGTTCTCCCAGTTTCTTCGTGAATGCAAAGTGCTAACTGAGAAACTATAATTTATTGTTGTCTCTATGACTTCTTCAATTGATAATCTCTTTGCTCCGGCATCCCTTGAAGCTTATGCTAAGGCTCAAAGTATGAAGTCCAAAACCCGACTTCTTGAGTTTTTCTTTTTTGAGTACCTATAAAAAATTCTGAAACATTACACGTACCTCGTCGAAATCCATGGGATGGCTCGTAGTGTTTCAAGGAGAAGACTTGTTGGGTGTCCCAAATTGAAGGACTCATGTAATTTGGGAAGCTTAGTTGCCTCGCGAAGTGGTCGAGATCATCTTCGGGATTTGGTTGCCTCGCGAGGAGGTTTAAGACCGACCTCAGGAGAGAAATTTTGTACCTCGTAGGACGGGGACTTGATTGAAGCCTCGCGAGATGGCTTTGAGCCGACCTCGAGAGAGGATTTTTGTGCCTCGTAGGATGAGGGTTTGATTAGTTATTTGATGAAATATTTGATAAAAGTCGCATAAATGTTTTTTCGTGTTTTGATTAGTTATTTGATAAAATATAATCCGTAATATTCTTGTCATCTTTCATTATGTTAATATTTTGACGTAATTTTTAAATACGTAAATTTTATTTTTAATTTCTGTACTATTCTTTAAAATTTCATTTGAAAAAAAAGGAATAAAAAGAATTAAGGGCCGTTTGGCAAATTTTGGAAGTATGGGAAGATATGAATTTTAAAATTTAAGAGAAATGATACGAGTTTTGAAATATGAAGCGAAATTATTTAGAGAGATTTAAAATCATGATGTAATTAGTGATATGTGAAGATAACCAACATCGATAATATTTGACGGTGACAATGGTAGCTGATGGACGGCCGTAGAGAATGGTCAACGGTTGAAACGATGAAAAAGGTTTTGATATTTGAAGGTATCAAAATTTGTATCTCTTTTGCTCTTCAAACATACGGAGTATCTTTAATATATAGTACTCCATCCATTCCAAAAAAAGAATGTAACATTTTCTTTTTCAATAATCACGAAATTTTATTTATTTCTACGTTTTCACTGATTATTTGATAAAATAAATATTTTTAACATATCTTATTTTGAAGAATATTTCATGTCGTTTTTAAATATGTAAATTTATTTTTTATTTCTATATGAATATTTAAATAAAATAATTTTAAAAAACTTGATATTTTACTTTATTTTACAAAATGTGGCCAACATTTTAGGAAAGAAAGAAAGAGTATTTCATTTGTTTAAAAAAAAGTATTTTAATTATTATTAAAATAGTTCTTATTCAAAAGTATCTACTGGACCAAATAGTTACCCTAACCGTATATCGGTTGTCACTTCCCCAATTTTCACCGTCGGCCAAGAAGGAAGAAGATTTAGCAAAAGCTCTCCGACGAAGAAAACTTGACCAACTGTAAATATGGTTTTCAGGGAAATCGTTTCGTTCTTCATCGTAGCCGCTCTCTGTTCCAATCTCTGGGTAAAAAGCTTCCTTATTTTGTTGTCTTCATAAACATTTTTATATAAAAAGGAAAGATATTTATTATTGTTATTATTTCGTACAGGTTAATGGTGATACATCAATCTCCGAATCCCCTTTCTCTGTTGCTCTCGATGCTCTTCAACATAAATTGAAGTATGGTTTCTTTCTATGTTGAATTTTATTTTATTGTTAATTTTGACCCCAAACCCTTTGTTCTTTGGAGTTAAAGAAACAATCCACAACCAATAATTTGGAAGGGCGTATCTAATCTTTTCTCTAATATACTCTGGTTCCATAATAGGGGTCATGTTTTAGGATTCTATTCCATAAATTTTATTTTAGTAAGTTACTTGTAATGGGGAATGAACTGCAGCGTGAATCGGTTTTCCGAATTTGAATGGATATTATCAGTATTTTGCTTTTGGCTGTGATTTATTTTGGTGGTATGTATACACAGCTACACATTTCAGGATGTGGCATTGCTGCGGCGTGCCATGACGCATTCTTCCTACTCGGCAGAGAACAACAAAGTTTTGAGCATCTTTGGGGAGGGAGTGATCGAGACTGCGGTCTCAATGCAACTGTTGGTGAAGGACACTGACGTCTCTTCCAAGGAGCTGCACGAGGAGATTTCGCGGGTGTCGAAGGTGGAGAGCTCATGTGCAGCGGATGGAACGAAGTTGGGGTTGCAGAGGATAGTCAGGGTTTCCTCCAACGTGAACTCCACAACTCCTTCGGTGGTCTGTGGCGCTTTCCGGGCAGTTTTTGGGGCAGTTGCTTTGGACACGGGCAGTTCAGACAGTGGCGGGAAGCTGTTCTTGAAAGTTCACGTGAGAGATGACAACAATCTTAATGATGTAATGTTGGCCGCTCGGCGCATTGGTGATGTGATCATGTGATCATGTGAGTGAGTGATGTGATACCTTATTATGCTTCTGCTGCTGAGGGAACTTTGGATTACCGTTATTTAGTTGATGTAAAAGCGCGGGGCTGTAGTATGTAGTAGGTTTAATGTGTTGTTATGGGGATTTTAGCAACTAGTCAATCTCTAATATGTATGCCCTTTGGATTGGATTGTGACTGTATGCTTTACATCATGATTGAATGTACCCCTGTTTGTGTTTTTTCGATGAAGTAATTTACTTTGGGTAATTTAGTTTCATGCTCAATGCGTATCATATCATATTATCATATGAAACAAAAGTTGCCTTTTACAGCACCAATGTGTTTTTTGACTCTACAACGACTCGGTATGTATAGATATGAGTTACGCCAAGTTCACTCTCTCACCCTAACCTCTGTATATACACACGCACAAACAATGTGCAATCTACAACTAATAATATAAGACTGTAATAACAAATGACGAAACAAAAACTAAAACTAAACCATGATATGATGGCTCTTTACCACGGTAAAGACTACCCATGCCCTCTGGCTGATCAAAACCTCCACTGATATGATGGTGATCAAGAAACTCCACTGAGCTAGCCTAGTAAGAGGAACCTTTCCCTCCCTTTCTTGCGACGATGCGTCTCACTGAGAACCACCTTAACACGCTGAACAACATCCTCCATCTCATCTGGGCCTTGTCTGCTGCAACAACTGCTGATCTGCCGCCGACAAACCCACTCTCTATATAGCAATCCAACGGTTCAAAGCTGGTGGTGGTGTTGTCAAGTTGTGCATAACCCGACGTGTCAAAGTAGTGCAGAGTCTCATCCTCTCCAAAAGCCTCTTGTGCTGCAGCAGAGTCATACATGAAGGAATCCGGTAAACTAACATCCAAACTGTCAAGGCTATGCAGCAAATCATAAGCAGGTTCCAATCCACTCAAACCACCAATGGAGAACGTGTCATCAGGTGATGATGGTGCTACTAGATAATCACACCCCTGTGATGTCATCGAAGCCTCAACCCCGAGTGAAGGGTTTGAAGATTGGATATGTGGAAACACAGAGGAGGACTCGTTGTCAAAACACACTACTTCTTCCCAGTGTCGAAATGCAGATATCACTAGCTCACGTGCCTCTGCCTGGGAAGGGGGAAAAATGAAAAAAGAGGACAAATGTAGAAAGATGAAACTCAGGATCACAAATCACGTTCCCACAACTTGGTTTTGGTCCATTATGCAAACGTTGCTAGAAGAAACGTTTGTGTTTTGGGCTAAAATCATGTTCTGGGAAACTCAAACTTGTGGCGGGTTAGCTAGCATAATCAGAAACAAGCATGCATGCCTTGTCGGTCTCAGATAGATTGTCTGCAGGAACAAACTGAGAATCTACAAAGAGCCCCATCACTTGTGCCACAATGTTGAAAACCACTCCACTCTTTTGCTCCGTTCCAGATGGGTAGTATGAGTACATTTTATTGCCAAGTACACATGTTCTCGCGTGTTCAACAGTCACTTCCCACATCTTAGTGGACATTCCTGTCCCAAGGATCTGCAACATTTCCACACATTGCCTCACGTCTCGCATATACAGGACAATTCATTATAATAATTTTTTTCTAAACAATACTTATCATCATTCAAGGAGATAAAAACTGCAGCATATTTCTTACATTCCGAAGTCTTCCTGAGTCGAGAGATAGCAAAGTCAGGAAATCCTTCACAGTATATACTCTTTCTTTGCTCAAACGCCTGTGAAATGCTCCGTCTTTACCAATTTTTTCAAGTCTCCATACTTCATCCAAGAGTGACGGTGGGTGGTGCTTCTTGTATACTACAAATAAATAAAGGGAAAAAGTAATGAGTTGTACAAGTATTATTTAGTTTACTAAAATATAATCCCAAGAGAGACGGTGGATGGTGCATCTTGTACACTGCAGTTATGTTATTAGATTAGTGCTTCATCACTCTGAAACTCTAGAAGTTCTCATAATATACACCCGTTAGGATAGAGAAGCATATGCATAAGAAAATAAATAAATAAATAATGAACTTACACTCTCCGCGGTGGTCTCTTACAACAAAAGACTCTGTTTTTGCCTCTGAAACTTTAATTTCTTCAAAATTTTCCACAAATCTTGCTCCCAGTCTGAACTTACGACTTCTAGTCCAGCTGGAATTGTCTGTGAAGGAAATATCGCCAACCAAACCAATGCCATCTTTAAGATTCAGAAATGCATCCCCATTAAGAAGGCACTTCTTCCCTTCCCTTTCTCTAACAATGTTATCTCTAAATTCCTCAGCACTCCAATCGTTCCCTTCATCGTTATCAAAATCTCCTTCAAGAACCACAATTTCCACCTTTGCTGATGACTCTGGGCCTGTTGTCACAACTTGTCCAGTGAGAGCATCAACTAAAGCAACTCTAAACCCTGACCCATCCTCTCCTTCTATACGAGTTCCAGTAAATACGGGAGGACAAATTGAATCTATGAACTTTAACTTGAGGCTTCTTGATTCATAAGAGTGTGTGTCTATCCCATCATTCCTAAACATGAGAGGCGTGAAAAGATCTATCACATGCAACAGCTAGCTGTATGTATTGACCATGGACCATATTACATACCGTATCATACTGGTGGTGTACTTTCTCAATGCCAAGTCAACTTCCTCTTTTACCTGTGAGCTCCCACGAAAAAATGAAGTCACTACCTTTCTTACAGGTTCATAAATTAGTTAGACCAATAGATCATTCATATTCCATGGAGCACAAGTCACCGCCCAACAAAAAAAAGGAAGTATATCTAAGAGTTTAGTTACAGCTCCCCATTATCCAGATATTTCTCTCTAGTATTTTAACTCCATGGGAACACAAATTTTGCATTCAAAGGAGATAAGAGACTTCAATAAGTCCTTATGCAAAGAGCCCCGCACAAATTTTTTTAATGCATGACAATATCAATGGTGAATAACCCAAGGATTTATTTTATGAAACATCAAAACCCATGGACCAGCAATTCATCCTATACTGCTAAGAGAAGAAAATTCACATCAAGGACATGGACTTACAACTCTACGAATCAAAGGCTCCAAAACAGGCTCCATAAAAGTCTGCATTCTGTTCATGTTCATAACCTCCAACACCACACTACATATATTTAAAAAAACATAATCAGTAAGTAATTAAATTGAAGGGAAAAAAAGGAAGAAATCAATGATGTGATTTAAGGTGTTGATGATGATGATGATGACATAGATTAGGTAAGTGTATAAGACTAGAAAAATAAAAGAAAATATCCGGGATAATCTTTCAACTGTTCTTATTTTTATTTAAATGTTCTTTCATCAAAAGCAGATTGTGAAAAAAAGCCATCTTTGTCACACACAAAAAGACAACCTTTTGACCCTAAAATCCAATCAGTAAGCACAAAAAAATGATGCTTCATGCACCAAAATTCGTTTATCATTATTATCTTCAGCCCAAAAAGAAATCTCCACTACTCTTAACAGATCCACAAGCAATTCCAACCATCTTAAACCGATTTTGTGAACAGTAATAAACTTCCCAACTGTCATACTTAAGGCAAGAACCTTGAAATGGGTTCAACCCAACATATTCTACTCCTAAATTAACGGGAAAAAGGAAAGTCTTTTATAGCACGCCTATCCAAGCACCTTACTTTAATGGCGATTTCAAAATCAAGAACAAAAAGAAATTTAAATCGAAGGATGGGAACCGCAACCTTCTGAGAGAAGGAATCCTCCGGTGCCGTTTATCTTCCGGTGGAGGCGCGGGAGCCTGCTCCGGCAGTCGTTTCTGTGACATCTCCAACGGCCTCAATCCCCCCACAGGATTTAATGGCTTCTGTTTTCTTTTCTTTAAAAAAAAAAAAGAAAAAGTTAGTAGAAGAAATGGAGCCACCGACCGGAGCAAGGACGAGAAATGATCATGGATGTGAAATATCGATTCTGTCCCACCGGTACTTGAGTGGACAGCAAGACCAACATGCGTTAGAGGAGGGCGATGATGGTCAGAAGATGTGCCATAAATAATTATTGCTCCGTATATGGGTCGGCCAGGCCAGGCCAGGCCAGGCCAAGCCAGAGGGACGAAATTCTATCGAATGGAAATAAAATTATTTGGAGAAGAAAACAAAAAAAAAAAAGAAGGGGGGAGGGGGTGGGCGTAATGGCGTATGAGTGAGGAGCAATAGATTTTGGCAGGGAGTGGGGGGATTGGGAGAAAAAAACCCAGTAGGCGGTGGTTAAAGAAGACGACGAGATTGAAAGCAACCCCCGCCCGTTGAAGACGACGAGATTGGGATTTTTCGTTTATTAGTAAATTTCAATTTGTGGAATCTGATTTGCAATCTCTGCAGTTTCGTTGTAGGGTGGACGTGGAGGATGAAGGGAAGAGGAACAAAACGAAAACGGGCCAATCCAAACCCCCGCTGGCCCACCCGGACATCGTCCCTACTTTGCATGATGCGTCTCTCTTTTTTTTTTCTCGGGTCATCTACTGTTAGTTTTTTGTACAGTACTATTAAAGTTTTATTAAAAATATAAAATTATTTTTAAATAGACTATCACTAGTCGTTTAGAAAAAAGACGAGCCTCGTTCCTGAGGGCTTTCTCAAACCCGTATTGACAATCACTGAAATAAAATCAATTAGACTTCTCACTGGTTTTTCTAGTTTCCATTGGAGTTTTTTGAAGTCATTATCAAATACTTTAACATTACACTAAGCACTACAAAAGAGTTTTTTGCACCATTTATCCTTAGACCTTTTAAAAATTATAAGAATTCCCTTTAAATTTTAAAAATTGCACCAATGACTCTAAGCTTTTAAAAGTATTCCACCAATGGTCCCTATGTGCCAGATTTGAGAGTGCGCTAATAATATGCTCATCGAGTACAAGTATGAATTCATCTAAAGTCATATTTCACATGTGAGTTCTGTAATATGCTCTTTCCAAACATTATTTTTTTTATATTTTTAACCTCTTTAAACCATATATTATTATTTTCAATTTAGTCATTGATAACCAAATTGGAAGGCCAGACATCAATCGATAAAACTCGTCATCAATCGATCAACATCTTCATCAATATCCAGCATCCTTATCAAGCTCCAACACATATACTGATGAACGTGTGATTAACGCACTCCCAAATCCGGCACAGAGGGATTGCTGATGCAATATTTTAAAAAATTATTGGTGTAATTTTTAAAGTTCGAGATAAATCCGTGCAATTTTCAGAAAATTTAGGGTTGATGGTGCAAAAAAATCAAATAAAAAGTACGGAGTATATGGCTAAAATTTATTTAAAATAAACAAATAATAGTTGTCACATAGGGAGTATATCTATATTAAGAAAAATAATTGAAATATTATTTTAAAAAAGAACAAAAAACCGTATTATTTATTCTCAAACATTTGGAGTATTACATTGACTAGTTTCATGGGCCAATTTTTAAAATAAAGTGAATTGTATGACTGATATTTATGCATGGTGGAATAGATCATGCACTATTCTCAATAATATAAAATATGATTTGGAAAAGACGTAAAATTTATGCAATATAAAATGAGACTGGAAAGATTTGGAAAAAACCACAAAATTATGCGATAGAAAAAGAAATGGAGAGACTAGTTTATTTTTTCAAGTAGTGTAAATGTATAGATTTACCAAGATATTCCTATGTTAGATCATTAATATGAAGAACAAAGCTATACCAGTCTGAAATTGGTGCGAAAATTATATCTCACCTTGATTTGTTTATACTAGTCCGTACATATATGGATTTCGCAAATAATTGTGCATTGGCAATGGGCCTATTCTAAATGGTTTTCGAAAGAATGGGGCTATTTCACAAATGATTGCTTGATAATTGTTGTTCAAGATTTAAAAATTGATTTTTGTTATATTTAAATCTAAAACAGACCAGACTCAATCCAATTAACATCCCTCTGGAGTATTTGTTTATGTGTGACATATTGTACTCAAATCAAAGCATGCCACTTCCGATGGATATCCTGAACCAAGAGGTATTAGACCCATTGGAAATGGCTCAGAATCCTAGGAGTGTGTGCCGAACATGGAGGGCCTCGGCCCAGGCCTTGCCAGTGGGGCCCAGGTCAAATCCCGGGTTCAGAAGCAGTCACATGACCAAGTGATCTCTCTCAAGTACATGGTCAGTCTCGTTTGGGCTTCTTGGTTTGACAAGACCAGGATGATTGTTCACTTGTTTGGCGCATATCAAACGTTCCTTGCTCAGGTCTAATTGTTAGGAAGGCCGACAAAACAACTTGTATGGTAAGCTTGAATTCATACCATTGCTACAAGTGTGTGCTTAAACAACCAACCATGTCATTTGTGAAGAAATGTGTGTGTGTGTATATTAGGTATATATCTAAACAAGTTTGGGACAAGTGAGAGACAAACTTAGCTTCAAGTTGAAGTGGAAGGTCATTATTTATAGCTAGGGTTCCATTGATATCTCTCTGGATCATACCTAAATGAAAATCCATAAAAAACCCAAAGACAATCAGTCGTTTTTTTCTTTTTTCTTGTACTTCTTTGTCCCCTTACTTGTGTATTTGCCCAATTCCAAGTTTACAATTGAAATAAGAAATGACCACTTGTGAATAACACAGTGAAAAATGAAGCAGATCACAACCCCGCCATTGTAAAAACTTCTGAGTACTTCATATAGTAAAAACAAACAAACCAAATTGTAATTTTTTTTACACAATGAACTACTATTACTACTACTACTACCAGTCTCCTGCCCAAAGAATATCTCCTTAACTGGTTTCCATAGAGGTAGATGCAGGTAAGTTCCAAGCAAAACAGGAGTAGTGGTAAATATATATACTCCGCTAACATCAAAAGAAAGAAGTTTCAGTTTTCTTTTGACCAAAAAACACACTAAATTCAATAAACTGGATAAAGAAGTAAAGGTTCACCAAATTGCCACAAACACACCTCTTTACCAATCCTCCTCGTCAATGGCCTTTTCCAGCTCGGTGCCGAGGCCGGCTCAGACCCACCTCCAACTCTTCTTCTTCTTCTTCTTCTTCACTGCTGACCATCTCGTCCTCATTTCCGGCTCCAAGCACTTCCAACAACCTCTTGGCCTTCTCCTTGGCCCGCTCGCTCCCTCTCTCCGCCACACCCTGCAACACCTCCCCCACCACTGCGTTTCTGGCCATTCCCTTGAACCTCAGGCACCCCTGACTCAGTGAGTACAGAGCCGCCAGGCAATTCTCCTGCGTGGCCTCGTCCAACTCGCCGCCGTGCCTCAGCAACCCCACCACCGTCTCCACCGCCTGGGTGTCCAGCAGAGCCGCCTTACCCTCGGCGCACACCGCCAGATTACACACAACCAGAACCACTATGCCGGCCAATTCGCCCCCCTTCAGCATCCCCACCAGCGCCGCGGCAGCTCCCATCTTTATCAGCTTCGACCGGTTGCTCTGCACCAGAGTCAGATGGTAAAGCGCCAGCGCCGAGTCGCAGCGAGTCCGCTCAGTCCCCGTCCTGAGGGCGTGCAGGAGCGGCTGCAGCGCGCCCAACACGCCGATGGCAGTCTTGTTGTCGTCCTCAAGAGACAGACTGAAAATCACCCCGGCGGCGTGCTCCTGCGACTCCTCGAACCCGCCCTTCAGAACATCAATCAGCAGGGGGAGGAACCCGGCTCGAACGATCTTCAACTTGTTGACTTTCGCGAGCGAGAGGTTCACCAGTGCGGCTGTGGCGTTGGACTGAATCCCGGCGTATCTGGACACCACCAGCGGCTTCAGCGCCGATAAAAGCCGCGATGTGCAGAGGGAAACCCTAGCTTCCTCGTTTGTCCTGGTCGCCTTTCTCAGCTCAATCACTGCTTGTTCTTGGTCAAATGAATCCAATTTCTCGAACTGCGCGACGTAGTATTCATCACCGGACAACGAGGATGAGGAATTGGAGGCAGAGGACGGAGCTTCGTCTGAAATGATCTCCGACGAATTCGATAGGGACGTAGGGGAGGATATACACGCGGGCAGAGGCGGGGAATTGGCAATCACAGACTCTTCGGAGCTCATGGAATAGTAGAGATTGTTGTTATACCTCTGATTCAAATCCGAAGAGGCCCGGGAAAGCGGCGCCGGAGGGTGATCCGAAACGGCTCTGAGCAGTTCCTTCTCCGAGACCCGGAATCCGGGATCCTCAGCAGCACGACCCGAATCAGTCATCAGGGCTCGAACAGTGGACTCGACGGCGTAGTAGTCCGGCGGGAGGGGTTTGGGGGCGCCGGACTTGTCGCACCAGTTGAGAATCGCGGCTCTGAGAGCGATATTTGGAATAACGGCGGAGAAATCAGGGGTGCGGCCGTCGGGGAGCTGGGGGCGGAAGCCCAAATCTTTGCAAACCTGAACAGAGGTGCGGTCGAAGGTGTGGCCGGAGGAAACCACGACAGGATCAAACATCAATCGGCCCAAAACGGGGCAAAGGAATTCGCGGGGCGTGTCTTCCTGGTCGTATTTATATGAAAGCCATCTCCGATCGGATAATCTCCACCACCGTTGCTTCCCTTTTCCGCCCATCTTCTGCCGGAGCGACCTCTACTCACTTTCGCTGCTCCTTTGTGTAAATAAAACCTTGCTCAAATTGAGCCTTTTATTATTTATACATTAAATTTAATAATTTTTAATAGAGATTTTTTTTTTAGAAAATTTAATTAAATAGTACGGAGTATTAAATATAACGATATTACCATTGATAATTGTCCACTGATCATTGTTCAAGTAATTTCCACCGCTACTGAACATTATTCAAATTAAATGTCTACCACTGCTAGATATTATTCACGTCATTAAACATTATTCAAGTATTATTTAAGAAAAAAAAAGTTTAAGTACTATATTAAAAAATTAATGCAAATTTCACTTTTTTTTGTTACGGAGTATAAACTTTCAAACATTAAGTTTTCACTTTTATGATTATAAACTTTCAAATGTTAAATTTTCACTTTTATTTTTATCATACTTCACAATAATTTAAAAAAACTAAATTAAAAATAAAATAAACAAAAATAATTGAAATAAAATTTCATATATTTATCTTAAAATACAGTATATATAATCTCAATATGATCAGCATATAATATCAAAAATTATTATAAGTGTCAAAATACATAATTATAATTATAGGTTCAATAATTTTAATTTAAAATAAAAGTAAGTCAATCATATTTTGGAGATAATGATAAAGTTTACCCCATAGTTACCTCGTAATAATTTTCTCCAATTTTGAATATCTTTAATAATTAAAGTTGGGGATGAGAATTAAGAGATAATGAGATGGTTGATGATGAGCGATGATTGGAGGAGTTGTTGAAACTAATCCCGGTGAAAAAGGGTATGGTTAAGGGAGTAATAAGTCAAATCTAAGCGCAGTTAAACTAGCAAAGCTATCCCATTTGCGTGGCCGATAATTCATCATGTTGACCATTTCTTTTGACGCTAATGACCGATATTAAGCAAGTCTTGGAGTAATCATATCATTTATTTTGCTTTAAAAAATCATAAAGTATCTACTTTTTTTGGGTTTATTTTGATAATACTGACATAGAATATGTATTTCTATGTGAAATTTACATTAAATAGTACTAAAATATTTATCATATTTTAATGTAGTACTTAAATTTTTTTATTCTCTATATAGTACTTGAATAATGTCTAATAGTAAGAACAATGTCAAATGATGGTGAAATTTAGTTTGAATTATGTCTAGTGGTAGTTGACATTTACTTGAATAATAACCGGCGGACAACAACCAATCATACTATATTGAGAAATAAAAAAACATGATACTATATTAGAAAAGATATTATGTTTTAGTACTATTTAGGATTCTCCTATTTCTATTCACTCTTAATTTATCTCCCACCCCTCTCTATTTCATTTTTCAAAATTGTTTTTATAATGTTTTAAAAATGAAAACTTATTTGTGTTTGAAACAAAAATAAATGACATTAAAAAACAAAGACACACTTCATCTTTCTCAAATTAAATATTTTTGTTTTTTTTTCTAAAATAAAAAGAATTTTTTTTTTTTTGTGGGGAGGAGGGAATTCAAAAAAGGAATACAAAAAAAAAGAGAACAGAAAAAAGGAATGAAAAAAATAAACAGATACAAAAAAGTACTCTTATAGATTATAGAGAAGATAAATTGCACTCCGTAATTTTGAAGTCTGCTCACATGGGTAGCTCAACTAGTTTAAAGAGAAGATGTTAAGCCTGTTGATCTTAGAATTGAATCTCGACAACGACAATGTGGAGCTCCATTATTTGTAATAGCTCTCTAAAGACCATATCAAGATTGTACCATGATCTACCGCTTTAATGATCCTATTCGATTGGAGTGTGGGGACTAGTAAGAAACAAGTCAAAAAATTATTCGCATTGTTCTTTAGTTTAAATGCATGGGTAGTCCCATGAAATGAGGCAATATGAATTTATGACTATGCTAATATAAGGTGATGCATTTGTTAACGTGAACATCTTATTTTTTTCTCACGGGTGATTGAATTTTTATCATCTAAACTATAAATAAATCTTTGATTTTTTTTAATTAAGTAAGTGACTCCTAGATGAACAGACCCACCCCAATTAGGCTCATGAGCTCCGCTTCAAGAAAATATTTATTTAAAAATTATCAATTTTGATAAATACGGAGTACTTAATTATATAATAAAGAGACATTTCAATCGATAACATACTTATATTACCTTTAGAGAAATACTTAAAATCAAATTACCTTTTATTTAACTGATATTTAATACGGAGTATATATTTTCAATAAAGGACCATTTAGTAAATAAATATAAATTACAAAGAATCAAACATATAATTACTCTGGTATTATTGATAACTAAGTTAGGAACACATATCACATTTTTTAGAATTCACTCTATAAACATTATTCCACCTCCACATTTCACTACCATCCTCCAATTTTGGTTTGGTTGACCTTCTTCACCAACTACCCACCACCCTCTCATATTAGCGTTTCCAAATGGAAAGACAAAAACAATAAAAATGGCACATTTCATTTCATACTCTTCCTTTCTCTTCTCTCATTAATTAATTAATTAATTAATTAATATTATCTTAGCTCCTTCCTCCCTATGAGATATATAATCATAATTATATTCCTCCGCTTCTCTGTGGTTGGCCCTTAAATTAATGCACACCGGAAAGAAGAAGAGAGGCGAGGCAAACAAATCAATAAGCTGCATGCATGCATGCATGCTATTCCTAGCTTCTTCTTTCCATCCATATAATCATCAAATCTTATTTCCACCAACAAAAATCAACATAACATAATTTAAAGATGAATGACCTCTTCTCCAACTCCTTTAAACGTTACCAAGACCTTAAAAAACAGGTGGAAATGGACGACATCGAGGGCGGCGGAGGGGGCAATGCGGCGGCGGGGGCGGACCTCGACAAGTTCTTCGAAGACGTGGAGAACGTGAAGAAGGACATGAAGGCCGTGGAGGTGCTCTACAAGAAGCTGCAAGAAGCGAACGAGGAGAGCAAGACCGCACACAATGCCAAGACCATGAAGGACTTGCGTTCCAGGATGGACGCTGACGTGTCTCAGGTGCTGAGACAGGTCAAGGTCATCAAAGGAAAGCTCGAAGCCTTCGAGCGGTCCAATGCCGCCTCCAGGCGGGTCCCGGGCTGCGGCCCGGGATCCTCCACCGACAGGACGAGGACGTCTGTCGTGAGCGGGCTGGGGAAGAAGCTGAAGACGATGATGGACGACTTCCAGGTGCTGAGGGGGAGGATGAACTCGGAGTACAAGGAGACGGTGGCAAGGCGGTATTACACCGTCACGGGGGAGCAGGCGGACGAGGAGCTCATCGAGAACCTGATATCGAGCGGGGAGAGCGAGTCGTTCCTGCAGAAGGCGATCCAGGAGCAGGGCCGGGGCCAGATCCTCGACACCATATCGGAGATCCAAGAACGGCATGACGCGGTGAAGGAGATCGAGAGGAACCTGATCGAGCTGCACCAGATATTCCTGGACATGGCGGCGCTGGTGGAGGCGCAGGGCCAGCAGCTCAACTCCATCGAGAGCCACGTGGCCCACGCGAGCTCCTTCGTCCGGCGTGGGACGGAGCAGCTCCAAGAGGCACGGGAGTACCAGAAGAGCTCTCGGAAATGCACGTGCATCGCCATCGTCCTCGTCCTCCTCCTCATCGTCGTCTTGCTTTTCCCGATTTGGTCCAATCTCCTAATGATCCATTTGAGGTAGATTATTAGTTACTCCGAGAGAGTATATTATTAGTAGAGCGTAATTAACCCGAAATGACCATATATAATCTGTACCAATATCATGAACATGGTATATATATGTGTATATACAAACATTTTTGTTATATGTAGCAAGAGTTCAAATTTTACAAGTTTTTTTTACATGATGGTGACTAGCTTACTTTTGTTATTATTGTCATGTTGGTGTGCACAACGCATGGTTGTATAAAGGGGCGTCGTGGCGGTGACAGATAACACCAACAACAGCAATGGTGGTGAGTACTCATCACGGTATAGAGGTTTCGGATTCTTCGCCGGTGTGGGGAACAGTCGTTGGGCATGAACTATATCATCGCATGCATGAATTGAATGATGTTAACACTTAACACTAAACACCGAATTGATCGAATTATGGGACGTTTTCTGTAATTAGGTTTAAAGACAAATGTTTTGATTGACTGAGGATAGGCTTAGGAATTAGGATAGGTATTAAGGGTTGAAATGTAATTTCTGTAATTAATTATTGTCATCCTCCCTTGCCAAACTAATGTCTAATTAATGTTCACTCTTTAAAAGAAATAAAATGTGTATATTTGTGGTTGATTATCAATTTTACTTTTGATGTGACAAATAATAGTAAGATGTGATGCATAGATTATTGATAAAAAATATGATGTGATAGGTAAGGTAAAAAATAGAGGTAAAAATGGTTTAATTTTTTAATAGAAAATGAAAGTGTTATGGAGAAAACAAAAAAAAGAGAAAATGTTTTAAGAAACGGAGCGAGTATATTTTTAAAATGATTATTATAAGCTTAAATTTGTAGTTCAAATCTTTTTTAAAATACATTATTTAAGAATAGGTATAAAAATAAAAAAAATAACACTTACATATTTAAAATTAGGCACAAGTGATAATATGCCTATTTTATATCACTTGCATATTTAAAACTAAGCGTATTTAACCTACATATTTACAAATAGGTAGAAGTGATAATATGCCTATTTTATTTATCAAATGATCAACCATTTGAAAGGGGAGAATATAAACTTTCCATTTAAAAAGGATAAAGTGATTAGAAGGTTTTTTTAAGACCAAGTCTTATGTTATTGTAAAAATTGACATTATATCATAAATTTCCAGTAAGTATTGCCCAAACAGTTTTCGTGCACTTAATCTAAAAAATGCTACCAAGATTACTAAGGTACTAGTTAGAAAGGATGGACTTGATAGGAACTAAAAATAATTCAAACTAGAAAACATTTCAAAAAAATATAAGAATTTTTAAGAACTTTACCTTAAAAAAAGATTTTTAAGTCTTATAATCTGGTGTAGCTAGTAACAAAAAAGTTTTCCAGGTCCAACGGCCCAGCCACAACCAAAATTACGGGGCTGTTTGGCAACTTCTGAATGGGTAAGTGCTGAACCAGTAAGAGGTCTGAACCATTAAGTGCTGAACCAGTAAGAGGTCTGAACCATTAAGAGCTAGTATATTGCTTAACTATTCAGAGGCAAATGTCTGATTAATTCATATAAGAGGTCTTAACCATTCAGACTCTGTATAATACTTAACCATTCAGAGGCAAATCTCTTAACCATTTAGACATTTGAACCATTAAAAAGCTGAAACAAACCGTCTAAACCAAACACATCTAAACCCGGTTGAACAAACAGCCCCTACAATAGCTAGCGAGCGAGCAGCGCCCCGTTCTCTCTTAACCGGCGGCCGAAGAGAAGAAGATGCTGAGCAGCACAACTCATAATTTCACTCTCTTGCACCACCACCCGCTCTCCGTCGGCGCCACACTTCTCAAACACTTTTCATCTCTCAGGCCTTCCATCCTTCAACTAACCAGAAACTCCATTGCCACCGCCGCCTCCACCGCAGCACCCGCCCCCACCACTTCCCAGCTCCGACCTCTTACTTCTCACCAGAAGCAACAACTCAACGCCTACGTCGGTTCTCTTCTCCAATGGAACCAGGTTCCATCCCATACCTTATTATTAGTAAATATTCATAGACAAAAAGGATTTTTTTATACAAAAAAAAAACAATTTATTGCCCGCAGAAGATGAATCTTACGGCGGAGAGAGAGGAAAAGGACATCATGGAAAGACACATCGCGGATTCCCTCGCGATGATCGACCCGATTCGAGATTCATACTTGTCGTCACGCTGTGGCGATTCTTGCGAGAATCTTAGGGTTGTGGATGTGGGGAGTGGAGCGGGGCTCCCTGGACTTGTATTAGCCATTGCTTGCCCTGGTAATTCTTTGATGATTACCCATTATGTATCATGCTTTTAGACTCGGTGCAACTTCAATTTCCTGCCTTTGCATTTTGTTTGATTTCATTCATTCCTGATGTGGTGCTGTAAAATTACAGTTATAAGGTTTGGATATGGATTTTAAAATGATACAATCATCTGCTTGATTGAATACCATTTGCCCAATCATTATAATCCCATCCAAATGGAAAATGTCATTTCTTGTTTTGCACACAAAGAAGTTTTGGTGTTTATATATAGATTGGAGAGTGACGCTTCTGGAATCAATGAATAAGCGTTGTCAATTTCTGGAGCATGTGGCTGAGAAGAATAGTCTATCAAATGTGGAAGTTATAAGAGAAAGGGCTGAGGTATTTCTTTGTGATTCACTGCCATAGTATCTCATCCCTGCATATCATAGGCTCTGTATATATATGCTGCTTTTGATGGATTAATGCAAGAAACCGCCTATACTTGTGATACTTTACTGATTTGTGGTTACATTTTGTTTTCCAGTATACAAGTTTACTGATTTGATTCCACCTTTTATGTGAAATTTTGTCATTATGTTGCAATCGTTTGTCATGAAATCTAGAACAGGATACAAAACATTTCTTGAGAAATTGTTAGTTTCTTGATTACATATTGGGTAAAAGACCAAATCAACAAAGAGTAATTGGTGGTTACTTTTGTTGGATCTGAATACCTGATCTATAGCAATCCTTATTCCTTACTACCTTTTTCCCAATGATAATGCTCCTCCTCTGTACCTAAACAAACTTTATGTATACTTTCACGGACCGTCCCACACTCCCAAAATATACTTCACCTAACAAATGTTAGCTTGTTTTACAGCGGGGGGATGCTTACTTTCTTTATATAGCCTGCTGCTTCGTATTTCTTAAGAGAGAGTGGATAAAAATAATGATTTTTCTTTTTATGCACACAATGTAAGTCTGAAACATTGAATAGGACAGAACTTAGGGCAAAACAAGGACTATAGAGAGTCATTTGATGTTGCAGTAGCCAGAGCAGTTGCAGATATGAGAGTTTTAGGTATGTGTATTCTTTGTTTATATCTGAATTTTGCATGGGTACATATATTTTGTTTATGAGTGTCGTATCTTCATTGTTCAGCTGAATATTGTCTTCCTCTTGTCCGAGTTGGTGGCTTGTTTGTTGCTGCAAAGGGACATGATCCTCAGGTCCCTCTTTTATCCTTCTCTAGTTGAAACAAACAGGACATACATTTCTTTCTCGGATCCATTTCCTTGTTGAAAGGTGTTAGGGTTGATATAACACTGAATAATGTAGCAACTCATGAGATAAAAATAGCACATGGCATCTAAGTAGTTTGTGATCGTAGCAATAGAAGTAGAACATGATTGAATGATATAGAGTTTTAGAGATTCCCATCTGATCCAACAGGAGGAAGTGAGAAGAGCAGAGAGAGCAATACATTTGATGGGTGCAACTATATTGCAAACTTGCAATGGTACATTATATTTTCTGTGTGTGTTTCTCCCTTGTTTGTACTTGGACATATTTCATATCTGATGGATAGTGTTCTGAGAGTCTTAACAGAATTTTGTTGTTATATGAATAAATGAACAATCCAAAATGCAGTTGACTCACACAGCAAGTATGGGCAGAGAACTGCTGTTGTATGTGTGAAAGGCGGTCCGAGCCCAAAGAAATATCCCAGAGATCCAGGAACTCCGGCAAGGTCACCACTCTAAATGTGCGCGCCCTCCACAGCCGCACATCTGAAGTGCCAAACATATCAAATATTTTGCATATAGCGGAGAATTTACCGAGTTTGAAGGGGAGGCAAGCAGGTTGGAGGGTGGGCAATGCATGCATAACAATTAACAAAGCAAATATTCTGTATCATCATGGAAAAACAAATGAATGTTTGATTTGGAACAGAGCATGTCCTAACAATTAACATCACATATCATGTGAACAAACTAATTCTTTTTTGCTCATTTCTTGTTACTGCACCTGCTATGCCCCTATTCTTTTTGCATTAATTTTAACTGGAACTCTGGAAGCTGGAGGATGAAAATTTGCTTTGGAAATAATGGGGGTTGGTTGCAATCGTCATAGGCAGGCAGAGGCGCAGAGCGTCCGGTGGCCGATGCTGTTTGGAATAGTTTTGCGTACTGGAATAGCAATAGTGCTGGTTTTGATATCTAAATGTTTCTTCCCTTGCAGCCATTTTTTTCTTCTTGCCTCCAAGTATTAGAGTTCTTGTTATTATGAAAAAAACGAAGATTCTAGTGGAGAAAAAAAGAAAAAAACTTTTTCTGAAAGATATCTTAGACTTGAAAAAGGGATTCAAAGGCTGGAGAAATTGGTTCGATTGTATGACACCCTTCGGATTAAAAAACCAAAAAATGAGAATGATGAAGATGGATCACACAGTGCTACGAACCCGGAGAAGTTATTAATTGATGTAGATGTTTTATTTGGATAAGTTTTTTTTTATAATTTCCTACTATTGTACTACATTCATCTCTAATTATTTGTCTAGTTTTGATTTTTACAGTCAACTATTTTTCACTTTTGACTTGTAATTAAATAAAATATATATTGTATATATTAATTATATAAAATAATAATTTGAAAATATTTGATTTAATAAATCTAATAAAATTGTTTTTGTATCAATATCTAATATCATTTTTATTTAATTTGAAGTCAAAATTTATCAATTTTGATCGAAAAAAGTAAAAAAAAAAGACAAGTACTTAGGAACGAAGGTAGTAGTTGTTTTTTATTTCATCATTAAAAAAAGTTGCATCGTGTACTTTTCTCTAATTTTAGTTTTGTTAACTTCGGATTATGATATTTTTAAAATCTAAAACTTACGGGCAAGCGAAACCGATTACGGCCTAACTAGAATTAAGCTAGGGGTACCCCATGTTGGTGTACCCCTAGCATTGCCCGCTTAACTATTACGCTATTGGCACAACAAATGGAAAGCCAAAATCAAACACGAATAAAAACGCACCGTGTGGCTTTATTTGTTTTTCTCGGTGAAGGCATGGAAGATCAGTGTCTACGTGTCCGTGGCAATTACGGACGTTTTTTTATAGTGCAAACTAGACGAGACCAAACACCGAATAAGTAAAGGTGGAGGACCACTGATCAAACTAAGTAGACAGATATTTGCCTGCTTCACTCCAGTCCAAATTTGAATAAATCATCAACAGTCTTATGATGAAATGGGGAAACCAAACACAAGGATACATTGCATCTTAAGAGTACAAGATTAGTAAATATTAAACTAGCTCAGCCAAGAGCAGATTTATTTAGGTAACCACATGCAGTCGTGAAAACAATTAATAACACAAACAAAACATCCCATGAAAATCTGAGGAAACAAATAGCTTCTATTCCATTTTAAACATAAGGTTACAGCATACATGCTGCTCCTTATGAATTATGATTAGTTACTTCTTGATAATGAGCTCTGCGCCTGGAGGTAATTCCTCTCTGAGTTCATCAGCACGCTTCATTGAAATATCTAGCGATTTATTCAAAATAATACCATATTGGTAATTCTTGAAGTCGATAATGACCTGTTCCAACACAACAGCATTCTCAAACACATAACGGGCAAGTCCAAGATCAACACGTCCACCCATAAAGCCAAACAACTCCAAGATTTTCAAGCACTTGAGAGGGCGCGCATTGTGACGCTTTCTAAATCTATACCTTGGTCCCGGCCCGAAATGAGTGTACAACTGCAATATGAAAACAAAAGTCCGCAAGTTTCCATTATGTTTTGTTAAATGGGATGAGAAAGGTTCAAGTGACATTGAACCCCAATTGAGGCCAATGTCATCGGAACCTTGCCTGGATGGGAGATGTTCAAGTGACATTGAACCCCGCTGTCATACTGCGAGCCGGGCTCTAATTAGGGCCCCCATGGTACCCTGTTTGAAAAATTACAATTCTTACCACCCCCCTCTAATCCTCCGGGTAAACTCCACACCCCGGCCCCAACCGACCCTCCCCGTCCCCTTCAACTGCCTCTCCAATTTTAATTGACTTTGGAGTTAACAAATTTGAGTCCAAAATCAACTAAAATTGGAGAGTACAATTGAAGGGGCTGGATGTGTGTGTGTTTGGATCGGGTCGGGGTGAGAGGGTTTACGAAGGGGGTAGGAACCGTCAATTTTATTTAACGGGGCACCATAAGAGCCCCAATTATGGCCAATGTCATCCCATGACATTGAAACTCACTGTCATGGGAACCTTGCAGATGTTAAATGTGTAAAAAATGATAACATAATGGTGATGGAAGAGGTGGTATCATGTGGCACACAATTCGTGCTAACTTCCATCCTGGTCCCATTATCCTTTCCCACAAATATGTATGTATGTATGTGCATAAGCAGAGTTGGTCATCTAACCTCTAATGTCAATTTTTGCAATGCCGGGGAAGCCTCAATTAAGGTAGTCCATCCATCAAGGGTTTGATAACAACTACTCCGTAGTAGAAACACCCAATCTTAAATGTTTGAGGTTTGTCAAATTAAGGGGAGGCATATTCAAATTCAGCTGCACGTAAGATGTAGGCATTTATTCACAATAACAACAATTTTGGGAAAGAGCAAAACAAAGTTCAGCATACGGACCTGCGAATCTACATGAGCCGTCACACTTAGATAATTCAAGTGTGAAAAATATTCTGAAAAAGAATCAAGAGCAAAAGCTACAGGTACATTGGGCAATACACGTACAGACAGTTCGGAAAGCAAGGAGGCATTTCTGATATGCAAGTTTATACGTTCACCCATGTATGCAAATGTCAACAGCCTTGGGGCTAAAATGTCAATATTTTGCAATTTTGGGCATGTGCCTACCTTTAGTTCCTTTAATGCTAGCGGCGAACTCAGAGCTCTTATACTTGTCAAGCAAAATGACTTCCAAATGTTCAACTTCTCAAGGCATTGACATGATAACAAAATGCATTCAAGGCCTTCGGTGGATATATTGACGTGATCAAGATCCAAGACTTTCAAGCAGGGCTTTCTACTCTACAAATTAGGAGACTCAAGCGAGAGGAAACACTCGAGAGATGGGGCATAGAAAGAGGCAGTTGGAGATAATATAAATTTATCTCTAAAATTTAGCACAAGACTTTTTGTTCTTTTTGCCAAGGCAAATGCCACCCACTTATCTATTTGAGATTGGCAAGTATTGTCCAAAGCAAAAGCAACCTTGAACTCTTCAATTGATGAACCGCGATGTTGTTCCACAATTTGAGCAACCCAGCTCACAAACCTAGATATATACTGGTTCACAAGAGCCTGATCAAGTAATGATGAACGCCAATCTCTCATTAACCTTGGATCTTCAAAGTTAAATACGCCTGAAAAACAAGTCCATAACTCTCTCCAATTGAGAGAAAGGGTGCCGAGCTGTGCAGCTTCCTTCAATGTCAAACGAGACATGATTGACAACAAAGTGTCATCGGGTAGCTTACTTAGCCTATCGGACATTTTTCCACTACTTGTGACATGAATCTGAGTTGTGAAAAATCAAAGGGAATATCACATTAGGCTCATAAGCCTCTTTTTTTCTTTTTCTTTATTATCAAATTAGACTAACACCAATATAAAAAACTCAATTAAGAAAAAAAAAAGAACAATAGGATTGAGATGTTACCTTTTTGGATGTAAGCCCTTGGTTGTCAGCCATTAATTGTGGGAGCAAGACCAGAGCAGTAAAGTAAGCTACACTCACAAAAAGATCTATGTTTAGATGAACTTTTCAAGAGCTCGAAAAAACCCAATAAGCTTCAACACAAAGCATATAAAATAAACCTCCATTGCTACTTATAGGGGTACCTAAGATATAAACTAACCCAGAATCATAGAAGAACAACAGGAATGATAAAAGTAAACTTTGGGTTCGAATTCATAGATGAAGTGCCCAACAACAAGTTGAAATCCTTTAATATAAAATTTGAGAGTTGATGCCTTAGAATTTTGACATGTGGCATTTTTTTAAGGTTGTGTTCTTTTGACACGTAATGTGTACACGCGTCATTCTCTGGGTTTGTTTCACTTCTTCGGAGACTTTGGTTTTCACGCAGCCCTCTTCTACGGCAATTCTCTAGGGTTTTTTTTCACTTCTACCACTTCAGTTCAAACCTCGCGCAGCCCTCCTCTTCGCCAGTCAGGATCTTCATCGCCAAAGCCCAAAGGTATCCGATTTCTTCTTCGCCAATTACGATCTTCAATTCCAATTGATGTCATCGATAGACTGATGTACAATTTCTCTCTTTCCTTCTACAAACAACAATTTCGTTGGAGTAATCTATACAGGTAATTGGCGATGTAGCGGCTCTCGAATTGGTAAGTTTAATTAGCGAACCAAAAAATGAAATTCACACTTATTTTTTGTTAAATTCACTTTAATTTTGAATATTATTTTCCTGGCCAATTTCATTGATGCCATTGGCTGTTTCCTTTGCGATTTAGGACAAGTTGTCTTACCAATTGAGGAATGATTGACCTGCATATTTAATTTAGTCTATTTATTGAACCAATGATCTATGTGTTTTGAGTTTCTTTTAACAAATGAGTATCTTTTCATTGTTGAACCAATTTAACTATTTTTTTCCCATTGTAATTGTATAAAATAGTGTTATGGTAATAGTGTTATGGAACTATCTTTCAACTGATTGGTTCAAGATTCTTTAAACTATTGATTGGTTCAGTGACTTACTTCAAAGGGTTTTAATGGTTTGATAGTTTGAGTTTGCTTTAGAAACACATTTCCCTTATACTTTCTAATCTTTGAGTAGTTTATAATTTTTTATTTTTCCTTATTATTTTGCAGGATAGAGCATTTGTGCTTAGGGCTGGAGCATATGCAATCCCATATTATTTGCCATAATGTTCCACCAGTTCAACAAGTCCAGGTTAAATTATCAAGAATTCCAAAAATTAGTTTTGAAGTAGTCTTATAAACTGCTTATAATATTTTCGTACATGTTTATATTGGATCATACTCATTGTTCAATTCTTTGAGTGTTTGGTATCTTGAGACTATGATGAATCTTTTGGTAGTTTTGTAAAGATGAATCTAAATTGTGCATAGAAAAATCATATACTCCATGTGTACTTAAAGAGAGTTTATTTTATTGACAAATCAGCAGCCACGCGTCATTCTCCCGTGCATTTTCCAAGCGGAAGAAGAAAAAGGAATTCCCGTGCGTCATTCTCTTCGTCGTCCCAATTTCCAGCGGAAGATTCCTTTCTCCCCTTTCCATCTTCATCGCGAGAATTCCTCAATTTCCAAGATTTTTTCAAGGATTTCCATCTTCATCGAATCAATAGGGTCTCGCGGATCAACATTCCATCTTGAACAAGGAAAGACTTCGAATTAGGTATTTTTTTTCCTTAATTTTTTGTGGGTATTTATATATTCTGGAGCAAAATCCGGATATTCGATATGGGGTCATTCCATGGGTTCAAAAATCTCAGTTTCTTTTTTTATCCATTCACAAAATTTAGATTAATTTTCAGACATGTTTTGACTCTTAAGTCTCAACTTTGTAATTTCAAATTTTTAAGTCCAGTTAGTTACAATGTCTAATGTGTACTACAACTGTACACGTAATTACAGAAGCTTCTTTATGTGTTAAAAATGCTTGATCCGTGCACACAATTTTGGTTCATTTTCAGACTTACTTTGACTCTTAAGTCTCAACTTTGTAAAATGAAATTTTGAACTCCATTTAGTTTTGAATGACAGATTTTCCAAAGTGCTTTTATCCAGCACTTTGGACTGCTTTTTTTCATACTTGCTTTTTTTAAAGTAAAAAGAAATTTCATTTTCATTTCCTGACTTGCTTTTTTTGAACTCCTGCAAAAGTACTGGACTTAAGAGTCAAAACAAATGAAATTTATGTCAACGGTGTACTACAATTTAGTATTATGTTCCCCTGTCATTGTTTTCTTCAACTTTTTAAAGTTCTTGCCATTTTTTTCTCTTGAGCTATGAATGACAGATTTTCCACCTCTCATTATAATCAATGAATTGTCAAACAAAATTCTTATGAATGTAAAAGGGATGGGTAACGACTGGGGTTTGTCGGTGTTTTGATGATTTGCCAATTGCTTTCAAAAAAAATTACCTGAGGTTTGCCAATTTCTTGATGCTTTGCGTTTAGCCGTGTGAATATTACTTTGTTGCCGAATGTTGTCATATGAATATATAGTTTTGAATCTACCCAGGTTGACAGTGAATAATACTTGGTGCTGAATGATATCCTATAAGAGTAATGGAAATACATGGACCCATGTTCTAATAATACTTGGCGCTGCAATCACAATTAGTTGGTATGTTTCCTGAATTCATTTTAGGACCATGCCTCCACTGTCTTTTATGACACCCCGCCACTATTGGTCAGCTCAATGTTTCATTTCGCTTCAAACAATTCTCAATGATTTTGGGTTTTTTATTAATTTGTTTGGTTTGAGAAATGCAGCTTAATTTATGTTGAATTGGATTGGCTATTTGGTACCTTTTTTGGATGCTTTTTTTGCTTTGATAATGGTAGTTTTGGTTTCTGAGTTTTCATAAATGATGCTCCTTATGGAGTTATGGCAATTGATGAATGAAACATTACTCAGTGGGACTTTGTGTAGAATGATGGTTGAAACTACCCATTTTGGTCACACTGTATTTGCGTTTTGTTTGTTATATGATGACTGATGGGGATTGCTTTTGAGTCAAATATTAGAATCTCTTGGGGTTTGGATGAAATTACGTTCATCTTCCAGGTAACATATCTTAAAATATGCTTTTCTTTGTTCACATCTATATGCTTCATTTTGAGTATGCATTTTGATGCGGACAACACCGTTTTGATTATCTATTTTGCTGCAAGATTGTCATGATTCATCGCCATCTTTGATTCACAATATTCGTGGCCATCAAACCCATACCCAAATTCCCCTTAAAACTTTTAAAATGATTTCTTAGTATATTTTCGGGTATCCAATCTTTAATTTCTGTGGGCTAACCATCACAAGTTGCTGATCTTGAAGCTAAATCTCAGTGAATTTAGGTGACATGAAACATTCAAAACACAATGTTGATGATTGTTTGCAAAACTTAGTCATGTCAGATTTTGTTTATATTATTTTTCCTTTTATTTGTTTATTCTTTGATGAACTTTATAATAGAAGAAAAATGTTGTTATGGATATCATGTTTTCAAATCCTCCAAACTTGATTTCATGCTCGGCTTTACCTTCATAAGCTTGGTTGTTTTATAGCCTCCACAAGTATGGATCCTGTTGTCTCATCAAACTTCTTGATTCCTTGACTACCTTTCCACTTTTTAAAATTTTGTGTGGCCATAATGGTTCATTTCTGATGGGTGGTAGCTATGTATAATCACTTATTTAATGGGATGAAAATTTCAATCCATATTGTAGCCATAACACTTTCTATTGCTTATATTAAACATGAAATAACTTTGTAATTTTCAATGTTGGATATAATAGAGTATTAATAAAATGATGATGACAAATGATATAAGTAATACGGAGTACAAACTAGAGCACTCTATTAATTCTAGATTCTTGCATTTCCCCTTCTGATACCCGTGCAAAGGTTCCTCACAAAAATGAATTCATTTTATTTTTCTCATGTACTATGTTACTTGAACTTATTTCAAGAAGTTTTAGCAACGTAATTAGCAAAATATTAACATTTTATGTGCTCCCAGCCAAGAGGGGTAAGGCTTGCAACAAAGAAGTGTGCAGAGGTATGCAACATGGTTCTTTTTCTTCTTCTACATTGTGAAATCCCCGAGCCTGCTTCACCAAAGAAAAAGGGGTGTTTACCTCTTTGGCTGAACATAGTTTACCCTCAATTAGGGTATTTGCTTATAGCCTTTGGTTGTTATACTATTGCATTGTAGAATGTGCAACCATCGGGCTAGAAATGAAGCACAATGCTAATGAAATCAGTAGAAAGACTAGGGGCAACCGTTGTCCGGGTTGGGGACACATATGATGAAGCACAAGCATATGCCAAAAAGAGGGCCCAAGACGAAGGACTTACGTTTGTCCCTCCATTTGATCACCCTCATATAATCATGGGATAGGGCACAGTTGGAAAGGAAATCATGAGCCAAGCAAAATGTGGCGTAAATGCCATATTTGTGCCGGTTGGTGGGGGTGGGCTCATTGCAGGCATCGCTGCCTATGTTAAGATGGTGACTCCGGACATGAAGATAATACGAGTTGAGCCAAACAACGTGAATGCCATGGCTTTGTCTCTGCATCATGGGCATCATGGTCTGCTGGATCAAGTCGGGGGTTTTGCAGATGGCGTGGCTGTTAAAGTGGTCGGGGAAGAAACATTTTGTCTATGCAGGCATCTAATAGATGGGGTTCTCTTTGTTACCCGGGACGCCATTTGTGCCTCAATAAAGGTCAGCAAACCCCCTTCTCTTTTGGATTCTGTATTCCATTAGGCCCATATATATGCCTTATTATTACAAGGAAACTACAAATCATTCTCTGCATTTTAACTGGTGTGATACCCAAAACTCATGCATTGCTATTTTTTATAAGCATGAAGTGCATTAAATAATAATACAACAACAATCCAGTTGGATCGGGTCGGGGAAGTGCATAAAGTAATTAGACAAAGAATTGATTTTGAGAGGTTTATTTGACTACTTTTGTTTATTTTTTTCATTATAGGACATCTTTGAGGAGAAAAGAAGTATTCTAGAGCCAGCAGGTGCACTTGCTCTAGCAGGTGCAGAAGCCTACTACAAACATTACAACCAAAAGGATCAAAACATCGTTGTTATTGCCAGCGGGGCCAACATGAACTTTGATAGACTAGGACAAGTTAGATATTGGTGGTAGACAATGTGAGGGAACTTGGTAGTTTTAAGACGTCATTTTTGAAGAACTTGGAAGTTTCAAAGGTTTTATCTTTTACTACTCCCTTCGTTTTCAAAAAAGAGTTCTTACTTTGAAAAAGTGGAAAAATAATGAAGTGTTAAATTGTAGTTGACTTCCAATTTTGTCTTTGATGTGATGGGTAAAAGTAAGATTTGATGGGTAGATTATTAGAGAAAAAGTATGATGTGATAGGTAGGGTATGAAAAAGTAAATGTAAAAGTGGTTTTTTAATAGAAAGTGAAAGTGTTTTGTTGGAAGTGAAAAAAATGAAAGAGAAAGTGTTTTTGAGAACGGAAGGAGTATAATCCTTTAATATAATGCCTTAGAATTTTGACACACGATAGGTAATCTCTATTATAAAGCTTTGTATTATAAGGTTTACGCAAGGGGAACGAGATGAGAGTAGTTTTTTGCTTTGTTTTTAGAATTAGAAGACTCAAGCAATTACAAAGAAAATGGACATTCATTTATAGGAAATATAATCATTTTTTCTAAAAAATGATTTCTTACTACTTATGTAACCAAAGAAAAATTAGATTTAGCTTCTTTTAAAACTATTTTTCTCACAACAAAAAAACTCTAAAAGTTAGAATCCAAGAGAACATTGTTTTTAATAAAAAATTATAGAATATAACAAAATTTCGTTCCACCCGTGCATGGCACGGGTTAAAACACTAGTAAGAAAAGAAAAAAAGCTGGGTTCAAACCTGCTAGGTTCAAGATCGAAAGCCGGCAAACTTTCAAATCAATAATTGATCAAAATTCAACTTGGGTCTTACTTCATCGAGCTGAGGAAGAAGAGAAAGTCTTTTTGTACCCTGTCTTGTCTTGCCTTGCCTTGCATGCAGTGACGGCTTTGGTGGGCTTTTATTTTTTACCCTCTCTCATGCACCTTCCCAGCCTTTTAGGGTAAGTATGGTTGGAGGGAAAGGGATGGATGGCAGGGAGGGTATCGCAATTTTGTTTGGTTCATTAAACATAAAAAGTATTACTATTGATAAAGCAAAATTTTATTAGAATTTTTATAATTTTATTTTAGAAAAGTGTAATTTTGAATTAAGTTAGGGATGACCTAGTTTATAATACAGATTAAAATATGAATTAGTATACGAATCATTCATGAATCATTTAGTCGCAATTTAAAAGATAATGAAATACAGATTAAAATATGAATTAGTATACGAATCATTTATGAATCATTTAGTCCCAATTTAAAAAATAATGAGAGAAAAAAATGAATTAAATTTGTCATTTTTTTTAGTATTTTTTTGTGTGGAGAGAAAAAAAGTGAGTTTCATGACGACAATTTTGTGTTTACGAAATGAGAGAAAACAATGAAAAATCATCTTTGCCCTTTACAAATCACATAATACATGTACCTATATATAACACTTAACACTATTTTCATTTTTTACACACATTGATATAAAATATGCTATGAATTATGCCTTTAAAACATTTTGGATACACTGGAGTTGTATTCCGTCCCTCTCTTCTACACTTTTTTTTTTTTTTCAAAATCTAATTTTTGGATCTTGCACAAGAAACTTGTAGTAGAGGAAGGAGTCATATAGAATTTGGGGTACAATTTAAATTTAGTGTATACTTTGGTGTATTGGAAACATTACTCTTTTGCCTTTCATAAAATCCAAAAGAAGCACTGGTCCAAGGAGAGGAGCTGCTTACTGCTCAGGGAAACATCGGACACCCTTTACTATAGGGGTGTGTGGCCGAGTGGGGTGGGCCACCTTTTCTTTTTTTGGTAATCCAAAAGAAAAGCACCAAAGTCAAGTAGAGACGATGGAGGAATCTATCCACTAGCAGAAGCTCCCTCTCCCTCCCATCATTGCTACACTTCTCAGGTATCGAGCCTCCTTGGAGCCATGGCGATTCCTAATATTCGAATCCCGAGACGGCAGTTGTTCATCGGCGGCGAATGGACAGATCCGGTCAAGGGGAACCGTCTCCCGATCATCAATCCAGCTACGGAAGAGACCATCGGTTCGTAAATTTGTTTTTTTTTACCTGGTGCGTGTGTCGGTGTGTGTGTGTGGAATTCCGTGGTCGATTGGAAATGTTTTTTAAAATTGAATTACTTTGAGTTGTATGATTTTGAGGCTGGAGCCTTTGATCATGGCAGGGGATATTCCCGGAGCTACAGCAGAAGATGTGGATATAGCGGTAGAAGCTGGTCGGAGAGCTATGGCTGGGGAGTGGGGCTCCACCACCGGTGCTCAGAGGGCCAAATATTTGCGTGCCATTGCTGCCAAGGTGAATCACCCTAAAACACATGCTCCACTTTTACCATCACAATTCTGTCATTGTCATTCCTAATTTCAATTTGATGATGTTACTGTAACCTAGTTTTAAGCACACGTATTGCAAGTTGCAACCTCTTTCTGCTCAAGGGACTTTCATCTTCCCTAAATTTGCCAAGCATATAGTTTTGTGCTTGCACTGATCAAAGAGTGCTGCTGACTTGATATCACTTTTTTTTTTTCCTCTTGATTGATATAGGTAAAGGAGAGGAAGCCAGAATTAGGAACGCTTGAAACCATTGATTCTGGAAAACCTTGGCTAGAAGCAGATGCAGATATAGTAAGCCACAGCTTACACGTGATAACTTGTTTATAGACTGCTATAAATAGCCTATAACCATCAAGTTTGCTTACTGTTGCTTTTTTCATATCACTCAGGATGATGTTGCCGCATGTTTTGAGTACTATGCTGACCTTGCAGAAGCATTGGATTCAAAACAGAAGACTCCTGTCCCTCTTCACTTAGATTTGTTTAAAACTTATGTTCTCAGAGAGCCCATTGGCGTTGTTGGGCTGATTACTCCGTGGTATGTTTCTACACATACAAGAAAGTTGTGCTTTCATGGTTTCTCTTTGCATTTTGGCTGTTGATTTCACTGCAATGTAATTGAAAAGAACTGCTAGAATCTTATGACCCCCATTTGCCTTAAATTGGAAGGAATTACCCTATGTTGATGGCTACCTGGAAAGTTGCCCCTGCGCTGGCGGCTGGATGTGCTGCAATACTCAAGCCATCTGAACTTGCATCAATGTGAGCATATGCTTTTCATTTTTGCTACCTAGCTAGCATTTACGCCGCTATTTTGGTTTCTAATGTACTACACTTTTGAATTTCAGTACATCTCTGGAGTTGGGTGAAATCTGCAAAGAGGTTGGCCTTCCTCCTGGTGCTCTGAACATTATTACAGGGTTGGGACCGGGAGCGGGTGCTCCACTTGCATCCCATCCTCATGTTGACAAGGTTTGCTGCTTCAGATTTTCATGATTTTAGTACTATACACACATTTATAAAAAGATGAAATATTGGATCATGGACCAAATATTGGCCCAAACAGTCAATCAATTCTGAAGGACCATGTCAAATGAACTTGTTTGAATAATACTCACATAAAATCCCATCAGGGCATATGAAGGAGATTAGGAAGAAACCTCTCTACATGATGGGGGCGGGGGCATTGTTTCTTTCTATAAGATGGTTGATAGCTATGATATTTGAACTAAATCCCTTAATCATCTTGCAATCCATTCATAGATTGCATTTACAGGTAGTAATGCTACAGGGGTCAGAATCATGACTGCGGCTGCTCAGCTTGTCAAGGTACCCGAACTGTTTAGGTGCTCTTTGATGCTATTTCTGTTTGTGAGAAGTTTATATGTTGATGGTTTCTTTTTTCTTTTTGTGTTTTTTTATTTACAGCCAGTAACGCTTGAGCTTGGTGGCAAAAGCCCTATAGTTATATTTGAAGATTTTAGTGACCTTGATATAGGTTTGCACTTTTCACTGCAACTTTAGTGATAGTGTTCTGAAACTGTTTATATTCAAGTGTGCTGCATTTTAAATTCTACTTAAATTATTATTATGTGTTTATGATTCGATCAGCTGCTGAGTGGACTCTCTTTGGTTGCTTTTGGACAAATGGCCAAATTTGTAGTGCAACATCTCGTCTCATATTGCAGGTGTCCTCTCCTTACATCATATACTCCGTAATAAAATGATTTATTTTATTTTTCTGTCATTTGGCTTATTTAGATCCAGTTACCACCTTGAAGATAGGTGCTTAAATTGGAAATGTTGACCCATATTTTTTTTCTACTCAATTGACCCATATTTTTTCCCACTCATGGGCATTAGAGCTGTTATGAAACATTAATACTGTTTCACTATGGAAACCTTGGATAAATTAACGTTATTCTCAATGTCACAGGAAAGCATTGCTGCAGAATTTATGGACAGGCTTGTGAAATGGACCAAAAATATTAAAATATCAGATCCATTGGAGGATGAATGCAAACTTGGTCCGCTTATTAGTCGCGGGCAGGTAAGAAATCTACTTTTAAACGGGAGAGCTAACTTTTGGTAAATAATGGATTTTATGAACACCACACTCTATAGAAGTTATTGCAATGCTATGGGTAAATATTGCATGAAGAAAGATCATACTTTTCTTAGTTTTCTATGATATGGCATGGAAATTAAGAGCCTTTATTAGTTGCTATTTAACTAGTCTTCTGGTTTCATCGTTTGCTGCTTTAGTTAACTGTCCCCCAACAACTGATGAAAGGAATTGTCCAATTTTAACATTTCAGTATGAGAAGGTGATGAAGATAATCTCTACTGCCCAAAGTGAAGGCGCAACCATTTTGTATGGGGGCCAGCGTCCTGAGGTAAAAGCTTGGAGTGTAGCTTTTAGCCTTTGCTTTATTTTGTTAAAATAATTAAAGTACTTTTGGGTAAGAACTTGTTGCACAACTGAATTGCAGCATCTGAAAAAGGGATATTATATTGAGCCAACCATTATAACTGACATAAATACCTCAATGCAAATATGGAGAGAGGAAGTGTTTGGACCTGTTCTTTGTGTCAAAACATTTAAAACCGAAGAGGAAGCCATTAAGCTAGCAAATGATACCCAGTGAGTAACCTCCGCTTATCTGTCTGTTATCAGTCATCAGTAGAGGATCAACACTAGACCCCGATATGTTGTTTTGAATCTAAAAAATTTTTTCCCCTTCATAGATACGGATTGGGTGCTGCTGTGTTATCTAAAGATCTCGCAAGATGTGAACGACTGACAAAGGTATACATGTTTTTTGTGCTAGATAAAAATAATGTTTCGTTGGTTGGTGATATAATTACGGGATAGTTAGTCTTGTGATGATATAAACTATATGCAGGCATTTCAATCGGGCATCGTTTGGATAAACTGTTCACAACCATGCTTTTGGCAACCTCCTTGGGGAGGAAAGAAACGTAGCGGTTTTGGTCGTGAACTCGGGGAATGGTAACACCAATCTAATCCTTTTTCTGCATTTATTTTTGTCACGAGATAAAAGCCAAAAGTTTTTCTCCATCTAGAAGGGCCTTCACTAAAACATCATTTGGCTGTTGTTTGCAGGGGGCTAGAAAACTACTTGAATATAAAGCAAGTTACGCAGTATGTCTCGGATGATCCTTGGGGTTTTTACAAGTCTCCTTCAAAGATGTAAAAAAAGGCAGAAATTGTTGGTCTTTTTGTATACGTACTGGTACCTGCTAGTCCACACTGTTTTTTCATAACTTGTCTGCTTTCTTAAATAAGTGTAACAAGTCCGTTTCTGAACCGGATGAATACAAATGTGAAGTTTCTTAAATTCACTAAATGGGAGCAGTGTTGTACTATGTTGCATGGATTCCTCGACAAGTGCAGCTTTCTATTCCTAAAACGCCCCTAGGCGGGCATCCTAACGTCCAAATCCTTTGTAAATTTGGAGAAGTTGGTGCTTCTCCGTCATGTTCCCATATAAGTGATCGTCTCTATGCAACTTATGTGCTGTAAATGAACATGACGTAACATTCAGCGAACTACTCATGTTTGGGCTTGTTCAGTGTTCTCATTCAGGTTGTTGTTTGGTTAAACAAACGAACAGAAAAAACTTGTCTAAAGGTAGACTCTATTGAAATTGACACAAGTCTGTTTGTGAACATGATTGACAAGTAATCATCTAATGTTGCATGGACACACTCACGTTGACACATACGCATGACATGGTAGTTTTGAAAGAAAAAAATGACTAGATATTGTTTGGACACGGTTATAAAAATATTTGTTCAAATAATTACACAAGAAAAATATATTCATTTTATGAACTGTAATCCTGTAATGATATACTAGAAATAAATGATTGTTAAATGCGTAGTGATATAGAGTACGAAAGGAAAATGATTGTCAACTTTTGGTGGGGACCGCGCGAGAACGAAAGGAAAATGCTTGGGATCAGTTGGGATAAAATGACTCAGCCAAAGAATGAAGGGGGTTTGGGGCTAAAAGATCTAAAATCCATCAGCCTGGCAATGGCGATACAAGGATGGTGATTGGCAATTGCTAACTGTGAAAAACTCATTGCTTTTTTAAGTTTTCAGTGGCAAATACTTCAAAGATGGGCATTTTTAAAGGCAAGAGTGGGAAACAATCCTTCCTGGCTTGGCGTAGCATTCTGGAGGGAAGAAAGGTGCTTGAAAAGGGCTGTTACTGGCAGGTGGGAGACCAACCTTCGATTTAATTCGACAAGTGCAGCCAATTGCAGGAAGTGATCGAATTTCGTGGAAAAATCATAGCTGCGGGAAATTTTCAGTTTCATACTTTCATCTAGATATGAAGTGGCATATGAATTTTATCATCACCTAATAAGTACATACCCTGCTCATATGAGGTTAAAGAGAACATGGACAAGTGTATGGAAGATGAAAATTTCACACAAGATGCATGTTTTCATGTGGCGTGCCCTACACGAGGCTTTACCGGTAAGAGTAAATTTGAACAAAAGGCTTAACAATGTTAACCCATCAATGGTAGCTCTTGGTGAATGGACATCATCAATCTTGCTCAACATGATGCGGATCATGTTGGGAAGTGTTCTTTAATAACCATTGCCTAATCTCTTCTTCTTGTTCTGCAATCTTTGCTGGAACTTTATATTTATTATACATCACCTGAACCACCGTTTCTGTGCAGCAGATATGGGGTGTGTTCAAGAATGGGGCATATCGATGGACTAGAGGAATAACAAGCCTCCCAATCTTTGACCATACGCTTTGATGGTAACCAGCTGTTGTGGGTGCATGATACATGAGTTTTAGTAGCTTCCAACAAGAAAGTTCAGTCTATGGTAAGAATATTGATTTACTTTGAAAATCTTCCAAATTGGGTCACACATACTATTAGACTATCCAACTTTTGGTACTGAGTTTAAATTTTTTTATTTGGTGGGAATGAATTCAAGTTTGTTTTAAATGAAAATTTAAGATTTTGTTAATTGCATTTAAATTTGAATGTATTCAATACATGATGAACATCAGGTGGTTTACATAATGGCATTTAATATAAGTACTCCGTAGTTATTTTAGTTTTTCTTTTAATTGATTGGTGGATGGTGGACACATCTAGGACATGATGTTAAGAAACAAAACTATATGGAGTAATAAACTAGTACAAAGCAATGTTTCTGTAAGAAAGTCAGAACTTCAGAATACAAAGTTAGTTAGTCAGAACTAACAGTTAGTTTGTCTCTTCCTTGCCACTTCAGAATACCATGAATTCCACGCTTCCGTATAGTGAGAAAACAGGTCTCTTAAAGCTGAAACATCATACAACAAAAAAAAAAGGTAATTCCATTACGAGGTTGCCAACAGCTAAATGCAAGGTTTAAAGTTGGAACATGCAATCATATATGTTGTGTATGTATATCTCACCTTGGTTGTGATACTCTAATGTAGATCCTAAACTTTCAAGGTCGCTAATCACTTTGGACCTTTCACTGTTCTCGAGAGGTTCAACTTTGGGTATAGTTGAAGTAGGCGAAAAGGGACCAAAATGAAAACCATTAGCACTTGTGCCTGATCCAGTATCCAGATTGGCTTCACAATCCACACTCTCATGTTTGATTTGGGCTTGTGGTTTTATTGCACCACCATCTACTGAGGAGGTCAGTTTGCTCCTCTTGATAGATTGCATGTTTGTGAGATCAGTCCCAAATGCCCTTTTCTTGGATTGATGCTGATGATGATGATCAAAACCCAAATTATGGTCTGAAACATTAGCTGTTGTGATTTCTGCTACGCCACTCAACCCCAGCCATCTAAAAGCAGGCTTTCTTGTTTCCGGGTGTTGAGTCTGCTCATTGAAAAAGAGATAGATTAGCTTTTCTATTACGGCGTACAATCTTAAGAGCTTAAGTCAATATGCCAGCCAAAACTCTATGAGTTACCTTCTCAATGAATTTCATTGAGGACAGCACGTTGGCAATATCATACAATCTTCTAACTTTATCTGCAATTTTAAAAAAACAATGCAGGTTAGCTCTATGATACAACAGATATGAATCAACTATCAATGCCACACAAGTCTAGCTTGGGGGATAGGAAATAAAGATTCATTACTTTTGGTCATAGATGGAGACTTGCCATCACCCAACAGTATCTTTGCAGCATCCTCCAGGCAAATCATTTCTATCTGTAGGAGGAGCAATAAACACTAACGTGAGGATCATGGTACAAGGACTTATCCTCTTCTTTTTTTTGTTGAAACACTTTCAGAAAGCAAAGAGAAAATAAACAATTTTGCAAAATGACTTCAAACTCACATCAGTGCAGATAAAGAGCTTGATGAAATTTTGTGTGAGAAGCCCCAAAGATTTCTCCTTTCTATTTTTGTCTGTAACATGTTTATAACATAGGTAAGGCAAACAAGAAATGAAGCTAAACAGTTTGTGTCAACATTGATATGGAATCAAAAATACCAAGTCCAGCCACTGATGAGAAGTCTGGTTTTTCATCCTGACCGGTAGCACAATCGATTGATTGATGCACATCACCTTCCTTGTCTGAAACCTGGTAGGGTAAAATGAAATAGTACATCTTAGACTCTTAGTGGTGGCAATAACTTCGGAAACAATTTATCCCAAATCAAGTCATTGAAGAACTAACTTGCAATGCAAAATTTCCATCAACCGCGAACATCCTCTCTCTAATCCCTTCTTCCTGTTTCATTATTCAAATTACTGATCATTAAAGGAGAATAATAAAAAAAATCAACACTTAAAGTTCAAGCAGCAGGGAAATTATGCCCAAAAAAGGCACTAGTACCTTCAGATCCTGGAGAGCTTTTGGGACAACTGCAAATCCTCTCCACGTATATCTATTCTTGGCCCTTCTCGCAAGAACCTGAATCCATCCAAGTGAGAATTTACAAAAATCATTTAATCGGTTCAATTTCCTAGATGTAAAACTAGATCTGTAAAAATTAATAAAAGCATCTTACACCAACGCTTTCCAGAACGTTCACAATATCATATATCCGCCTCCTCTCGACCCCTAACTGCGTTGCTGCATCATCAAGCCCTATGGTTTCAACGCCTTCTCGGTTGTACAAGCTCAAAAAACTGAATAGAAATCCAGACGGCAGGCACATTAGAGTGAGGTATTCAGACACAAAAGCAAATCAAGATTCAGAGGGG